GGTCTTCTCAATACTGCCAATTTTTTTTGTGAAGATACTGGTGAGATGGGTGAAATTGTTAAAGATTATTTAAACAAAATTGTTTACTGCAGCATCTACTGATCATACCCCAGTGGTGAATTTTATTCAGTTGATGCTTACGCAGGAGAATAATATGTTGTTGTTAGCTTCTTTTTCGAATGATGAGATTAGGTCTGTGCTTTTCCAAATGCATCCAGATAAAGTGACTGGTGCCGACCATATGAACCCTTGCTTTTTCCAAAAGTTTTAGGGTATTGTCAGTACTAACATTATCGATGCTGTACGTAGAGATTGGTTAACCAACTGTGTTTTTTCCCATACTTTGAATCATACTACTGTTTTCTTATTCCTAAAATTGATAAACCTCAGTGGGTCAAGGATTTCCATCCTATCTCTCTATGCAATGTTGTTTATAAAGTTGCAGCTACGGTCCTGGTTAATAGGCTCAAGAAAGTTCTTGAAGGTGATTTCTGTCTCACAATCTGCATTTGTCCTAGGTAGATTAATCATAGATAATATTTTAGTCGCTTTTGAGCTTATCCATTTTATGAAAAGAAAGACAACGGGTAAAAGCGGTTTGGCTGCCTTAAAAGTTGATATTTCTAAAGCACATGATCGAGTGGATTGGGGTTTTTTGATAGCTATTATGATTAAAATGGGCTCTGTTTGTTATATGGTCAGGCTGAATGGTGTGGATATTAATCCTATTACCCCTAGAAGAGGTCTGCAACAGGGTGATCCTTTATCACCTTATCTTTTTTTACTTTGTGCTGAGGGATTATCTGCTCTTTTTAGACAAGCTGAGGCGGCGAGAGATATTCATGGCTGCAAGATTAATTCAAGAACCCCTAATGTTTCCCATCTCCTCTTTGCTGATGACAGCTATTTTTTCTTCCGGGCAAATAGTAGAGAGAGTGAATGTGTCCGACATATTTTGCACACCTATGAGCATGCATCTAGACAGGCTGTTAATCTTCAGAAATCAGGTATTTTCTTTTGTCCTAATGCTTCAAATGATTTATGAAATATTATTTCCGATATTCTGAGTGTGCATACCTCGCTTAATCATGGGAGATGTCTAGGTCTTCCATCACTTGTTGGTAGAAATAAAAAAGGGGTCTTTGGGTTTATTCGGGACAGATTATGGTAGAGGCTTCAGAGTTGGAAGGGTCAGTTTCTTTCAAAAGCGGATAAGGATATCTTGATTAAATCTGTGGCACAGTCTAGTCCTACCTTTTGTATGAGCGTCTTTCTCGTTCCAGTTTCCACATGTATGGAATTGGAAAGAATGATGAATTCCTTCCGGTGGTGTTGGCAATAATATAAATTACTTAATTATGAACAATCACAGTACTCAAATACAAATACTTAATTATATTACTGGAGTAATATTACAAGGGAGACACACTCACAACTCACTTTATTTTTTTATAATCTCACACACATATAAGAGAAAACTAATCTCTATGTCTACTTTATTATAGGCAATATGATTGGGTCTTGACCACTGAGAAAACTAATCTCTATGTCTACTTTATTTATTCGTATTTTACATGTATATATAGGCAATATGATTGGTGTCTTGAATCCACTTTGGTAGCCTTCCAACAATAGACCAAGTTAAGCACCGTCCATTAACTATGCTTTCACCAACCAAGACTTTACTCACTTAGAACCATCTTTGACCATGCATTCACGGTCCATGACTTTTAATTAGCTGTAGACAAATTTAGTTTTCTATCATTTGATGGGGACTGAAGCAAGATGAGAAACGTAGTGTTCATTACTTGTCATGGGAAAGAATGTGTGCAAGTAAAAAGGAATGAGGGATGGGCTTTCGACATTTGCACAGTTTTAATGTGGCACTTTTAGGGAAACAAGGTTGGAGGCTTTTGTCCAACCAAGGTACTCTTCTATACTAGATACGTTAAATATTTCTCTAATGGAGATTTTTATAATGTCGTTTTAGGGCATAATCCCAGTTTTACATGGAGGAGTTTTTGTCGGCTCAAAAGTTGTTGCTGGATGGACTGAGATGGAGAATCGGTAATGGCTTGCATATTAGCATTTGGAAGCGCCCTTGGATTATCCGTGATGGTTCTTTTTTGTGACGTCACCTGTGCTGCCTGGGTTTGAAGATTGTCGAGTTTCTGACCTTATTTGTCATGATACCAGATGGTGGAACTCTGATCTTGTGCTTGACTTGTTTAGTCCTGAGGAATCTGATTTGATCTTGCGAATGCCGTTAAGCTAAAGGAATTTAGATGATATTTATGTCTGGCACTATACAAAACAAGGGAAATATACTCTAAAGTAAGCATATTATCGTGCTTTCTAGCTCTTGCATGCACATCATGCTACACCGCATCACTTGTTTTGGAATCAACTATGGAGGTTAAAGATTCCGCCCAAGGTGAAGAACTTCATTTAGCGTCTCTGTCGCAATATAGTGCCTACTAGGTCACGGCTGGTGGAGCGCGGAATCCCTATTATTTCTTGTTGCTGGTTTTTTGCTGATGAGGAGACCTCAATTCATGCTTTGTTTTTATGTGATCGAGTTACAGTAGGGTGGCAGTCTGTTGGGGTCAATATAGCAGGTTTTACGTGACCATGAATTTATGGGCTGGTTCTCTAATCTTCTGTAGGTTCATGGGCAGGAGTTGTTTGAACTTTACTCTGTCATTGCATGGTATATCTGGTACCATCGCAATGCGTTCCTTTGGCGAGGAGATAATCACACTAATACACAACGGTGTTACTTGCCAAAAAATTTTTATAAGATTAGAGAGAAGCAAAGGCTAGCTTAAGTGCTCAGCCTCCTGTCTCGCAGCAAATTAGAAGTGATATGTGATGGTCCTCTCCTCTGATAGGTTCTCTCAAGTGCAATGTTGATGGGGCATTGTTTGCTGCTCCAAGGAGGTCTGGTTATGCAACGGTTTCTAGTGATTCTACAGACGTTTTTTTGCAGGGATTCACAGGTCGGTTCAGGGGTGTTGTTGATCCACGAATGGCAGAAGTTTTGGGACTTACATGAGGCGTTATCATATATTAAGGTGCATCGGTTATCTAATGTTTTGGTAGAGATTGATGCTCAAGAAATCTACATGGAAATACAACAGCCCTCTGGTAATTTGTCGAAATGGCATCTCTTAGTAGTTGACTGTGTGAATTTATGTAATAACAGCAATAATGTTATTGTTAGGTGGGTTAGTAGATCAATGAACGAAGTCGCTCATGCCTTGGCTAGGGTGTCTTGCTCTTATGTTGATTTTCATCTTTGGTTTGAGCTTCCTTCTGCTATTGAAGCTCTTCTTATTCTTTGATTAGAAAAAGGCTCATTTTGGCCCTTCAACTTGTTCCCAAAATCATTGACCCATATTTTAACTTTAAAGCCAAATTTCTCCGTTAGCTGTCATATTACAGCCAAAATAGCTCAGACATTCAACTGGTCAGTGCGCGTGTAATATAATCAAAACCCAAAGAAATGAGATAATAAATTCAAGCTGAATCTTCGCACCAACGATTTAGCTATCAAATAGTATCGTTGGGAGAAAAAAATAAGTCAAGCTACCTCCTTTGCAATATGAAGTTTGCACATGCAGAGCAACAAAGGAGCGGTGTCTTTCAATTGAGGTAAAAGTCAAATTGAGGAAAAAAATAAATTTTTCTTTGATATTCAAAAATGAAACCGAAATTAACAGTGACTCTCTCATTCTTCTTGATATCGAAGGTAAGTAGTTTCTTTATCTTTGTTTCTTTGTTAACTAAAAGTAACTCAGGAAAAACGTTTTTTTGTGTCTTTCGTAACTGAAAGAACTCAACAAAATTATTTATTTGTTTGTTTGTGGTGTGATCGACATTGTTCCTTATACTCCTTGCTGGTTTTTTTGTAAAGTCTTTTAAGTTTGTGATACATATACCCACTTGAGTTATAGTGTAACAAGGCTTCTAATAGTGCTATACCTCTGATTCTTTAACCCTTGTGTTTGTAGAGGTTGTTATTTAACCTTATAGGCTCTGAACAGTACTCTTTGCTATTTCTTTTACATTGTGTGCTTTGATATCGATCTTTCTAGTGATAAATGAAGGGTTGTTCCCTGTATTTTTTGCTGGTTTGTTTCATGAAGTCTTTTAAGGTTGTTATACATATATCCGCTTGCAGGTAAGGGTGTAACAAGACTTCAAACCACATATACAGTATCGAGTCACTCCCTCATAATTATACTCTAGATGAGAACCTCTATTACTGTGAATGTCGGGTGAACTTGAATATCGACCTCCAGAAACCAAGCTTTCTTGATCTCTCATCCTCATTCTCTCATTGACTAAAGGATTTATTTTAGTGTTAGGTGTTTTGGTTTTTGATATTTTAGGGATTTTGAGAAATAGACGAAGCATTTTATCTGCAGTTACGCTAATAAAATGTTTTCATCTTTACTAATTTTTTTAAAAAGAAAAATATTTTTTGACTGTGTGAAAATCATACTATCGTACCAATTGAATGTTTGAGCTATTTGGCTGCAATATTATAACTAGTGGAGAAATCTGACTTAAAAGTTAAAATATGAATCAATTGAATTTGAAGACCAAGTTGAAGGGCAAAAAATAGCCTTTTTCCTTCTTGATTTAAGTCATTAATGAAAGTTTTTTCTTCTCAAAAAAAATTAATTGTATTTGAACAATGAATTTTACTTACATTTTTGACTGATATACCTCTATATTAATATTAAAATATAGAATTAACTAAAAAATTATTACTAATAAAGTCAAGTATATTAAATAAGAATAAAAGTTAATTATAATTTCAAAAACAATAAGCTATATTTTAAGACAAAAAAAAAAAAAAAGAAAAGAAAACTTATCATTATAGATTCCAGAACGTTTCTCCCTCACTATTTTTTCCTTCTTACAATAATTACAGTTCTCCATCCATGTCCATATTAGCCGTCCATGTTGGATATGATTAAATTATAAAAAGAAAAAAAAAAAGATATTTTAATACAACATAAACCCAGATAGACGAACAGATTTTCATTGCCATTTACATCTCATATTTACAGAATAATGCCCTCAATTTCCCCTACAAAATTCTTAAATCAACCTGTGAGAATTTTTCTTTCCAACCTCGCGCCAATATACAAGCATATATATAATCGTATAATAATTCCTAATTGCGTCATCTTTCCATTAACTTATAACCTAATTTCTCATTTCTTTTCCTTTTGTTTCAGTTTCAGTTTTTCTGCTCCATTGGTTCACAAACCAAAGGATTCCAAAGCCCCCAGCCTCTGCAGCAAGTACTGACGAGTCGATAACCAGAACAAGGCCATGACAGACTGTTCTGGCAACCAGAAAATAGGATCTCTCAATAGCCACATGTAGTAGCAGTCAGCAGTCACAAGATAAATATGACATTCCGGGGCAACAACAATACGGAAGACCAAAAATCTCAGATTCTCTAATCATTGATCTTAATAACATCCGATACTGTTGCATTGCAAAAGAAACATCTATGGCAATTTAAAAGATGTCTTCTTATGCATCCATAGCAAGACCTATGGGAACAGGGGACAAATTGTGCATTTGCTTCACACGTGTAACAAATGCAGCAGGTGCCATCATCTGCATCTGTTTCTCCCCCTTCACATCTCATCCTTTCAATTTGTTGTGCTTCAATTTGACTTAGAAGGAGGCTCAAGAAATTCTCAAGTTGCCCGAGTCTCCCAATATAAGCGTCCCCTCTGAATGATCCAGCCTGCTAAAATGATGGGAGGGTAAATATAGACTAACCATAAAAATGAAGTAACAAATGCAGCAGGGAAGGAGCTAAGATTGAAAGAATGTTGATTCAATGACTTGTTCAGAGGTTGTTCAAGCACTATATACAAGTGCATGGACATAGAATCCAATCTAACTCAGCTGATTTACAATCTATACCGAATCCTAGAACAAGTAAAATCAAAGATTAATAGGGCAAAGGAAAATACAAAATGAAAGGACGTCCAACAACATTTTGGCAAACAATCTTTCTTTTTTTTTATATATATATGAACGAACTGCATATTTTCCCTAGTAACTATGCACTTCAAAACATAACATTTTTAACAACAGGAATAAACTTTCAATTTAAAACTGCCCAACCCTTTATCTTCTTGAAATGACCATTTCCATTCTCATCTCATTTTTGGCTCACTATCAACAAAAGTGGTACTTCAATGATCCTTCATACCCTATTAGGGAACAAGATCCACCAGTTGCACTTTAATCAGAAGAGACAGGAAGATAAGGACTCTGAACAAAGTGTACAGAGGATAAAAGCATGAATTACTTCTGATTTTCTTAGCATTATCAAATTCTTATCCACCAAGATCATCCGTCAGTCCTTAAAAACCTCCCTATTCAAACCTTTTTCCTTTTCCTTTTGTCAGTAAGATGAGATATAATTCATATAGAGCCTAGTATATGCCTCCTGTAATTAACTGCTATAAAGAAAAAAGACTACACTTGCACTTATAGTTTCCGACACAAAATCAGAAAATGGTACGGTGAAACAAATATTCTATATCCCAGCAATGATGCTCTCAACAAAATCTCTATTGATTTACACACAACAGTCTACCCTGATAAACATTTGTCTATTACTCCTAATATACTGGAAAAAAAACAAAGCAAGAGTGTTCTCCTAAGCTTTTTCTGCATCTATGGATGGCTGTGTAGCCACCATTCACACCCGCTCCATAGTACACATAAGAATCCAAATAGCATTCTGTGCTTTTTCTGCACCTCGGGATGGCTGTGCAGCCACCATTCAAGCACCCGTTCCATAGTAAACAGAAGAATCCAAATAGCATTCTGCTAGCTTTTTCTGCACCTTTGGATGGCAGCGCAGCACCCATTCAAGCAACCACTCAATAGTACCCAGAAGAATCCAATTGATTCCAAAATAACCCAAAATCTCAAGACCCACAAACCTCATCCATACAATAAATAAGAAGATCAACACTATCCTTATTTGCATATAATGCATCCATTGGCCACAATAAATCCAATATAATATTGTTACCATCCAAGGTTCTTACCAATAATCCAAAATGACATGAATCTTCTGAGTTTTGATAACCAAACACGAAGTGGAATGAATAATAAGCTGGTTATCTACATCATGCATAGCTACATGGACATTGAATTGAAAGAGATTAGACTTGGATCTGAGAAAAACTAACCCAGTTATACTCCAACAGATACTGGAATCCACAGTGCATGGTATCAGGACAGTCCATGCTTGCAAAAGTACCCACAACATCATTCTGCTCTATAAATTCTGTCTTCATACTTGCATCCAACAAATTCAAAATTATCCCCATAAGAGGTGCTAATATCATGCCTCGATTTACTTTTTCCAATGATTGACCATGTCGCCTAAGTGACCTGTAAAATACAGATACAGCACCATATAATGAGGTTAGAAGTTCAAGCTTTGTCTTTTTCTAATCAAATCTATAGCATAGATGAAGCTTTAGTTAATAAATTTTGAAATAATAGATTGAGAATTACTGAGAATCAAACTCCAAAAATGTACATATGCAAAGGAAGAGAATGATATTTTCCAAATGCAAGTGAGCTGAAAACATCAATTTTCCCACATACATACAAACACACCCACATATGATACAACCTTTCAGAAAAGTAGAAATGAGGCATAGAAATGATTGTCACAATATAAATAAACCATGAATAAATCACAGATTACAATCTGGAATGATTTCCTCGATGAAAGTTTTCAATAGGAAATCAAAGTAATTATTATGTTTCTAATGACAAAATCTAGGAATAAATAAAACTGGAACAACAAAGATGGTACAGAATAAAGAAACAAAAACGTTAGTTCAAATCACTAGCTTAGAAGCTTACAAGTCAAAAAACTCAGCATCTGCAGCTGAGGTTATGTGGTTGAGAATAAAAACAACTAATTCAGTTAACCTCCGGAGGTTTGTATCAGTTCCTGATAGGAATGCTTGGGGAATCTCATGGGTACAGAACTCCAGGAGCTTGGCAAGGTTGCATGAGAGATCAAATATTACACAGCATTTTCTTTGCTGAAATTCCAGTACCTGCAAAGGATGTTCAATAAAAATAAGATTTAAATTAATCACACAGGAAAAGGAAATCACCAGAAAAATTTACACAAGTCAATAACAATTATTAACTGTTTTAAAACATAGATGGCAATATAGAAAAGTATACTATAACAATAACAAAATGAGTAGCAGTTCTTACAGACATGCATGCTTGCACACATAATATACATGCATAAAATGAGGAAGAATCCACTTATACCAATTTCAAATGTAGAAGCATATACAATTTGCATGTTTAATCTTTATCCCCACCCCTTTTTCATCCCTGTTTATTTTCTGGTTTTCCAAATGTAAGAAGGGTAAAAATTTTTCTCACCTGACTTATCCTTCCAAACACAGGCATTTCAAACAAAATAAGCATAAAATCTTTAGTCATTCAAGGGAAGATACACTACGAGGTATCCACTACTAAGAGTACCGTCCCAAAAAGGAAAAAAAAAAAAAAAAGGATGCTTTTGTCACTTGGATTACAAATAACTGAAATTGAAGTGCTTGTTATTGAAAAATCCTTTCAATTTTTCTTTTTCAGTCAAATTTCAAAAATATTTGCTGACTGTTACACTAGCAAGATTTATGTCAGAGAAATAAGTCATTTATACCTGGTATGTTTCTTGCATTTCCCGAATAGAAACAGAGAATTCAGTCATTGTCCAGCTAAGGGTATTAAATAGGCGATTCAGAAAGGCAGAGAACAATTTTTCGTCATTGATACAAGCTTCTCGCAACAAATTCTACATAAATTAAGAGGCCCAAACAAGTTTAAATTTATAGCTGTAAATTACTAATGGGAAAGAAAGTTACAAAATCAAGGCAAAAAGAGTCGTCGTTTCACCTGGAAAACAACTGATGAAGAAGATGATGATTCTCCATGCTTGGAATAACCAAAGCAAGAAGCTTTGCACAACCGCAGAAGGATGTTGGTGACTGGAATCCAAGATCGGTTATCAAAAGCTGACAGTAATGCTTTTGGCATTCTTTGTCTGGCTGCTTCATTGCTTTCAAAAACTGCCAAATATTCCTTATACTGTACCAAGACTGATACAGATTGGAGAAGGAGATCCTTTAGATCTGCACTCAATATCCTTGGATCATTGAAGTGGGTAACCACAAAAGTGACCTAATGAACAAGTAAAAATAATCAATACTACAAATCCATTTGATAATCTGAACATTTGATGAAAACATAATTCTAAATTCATTCAAAATCAATAAACCATATGCAGGCCACAAAAAAAATTGCACAAAAACTTCAACCACATGCCCTTGACCACCTATAGCAGAAATTACTCAAAAATAAAACCCAATCTGATGATAGATATAAGTCAAGGCTTAGAGTGACTGCCTTCACTATTGGATGGAGGAGAAAGATTTCATATCATGTAGAAGAAATATGTGTTAGAAAAATTTCATATCATGTAGAAGAAATATGTGTTACTAATCGATTTCTTCTCTGAATATCACTAAAGTGTTACAAGCTAATGAAGGTTGAAAAACCTCATCCAAAGAATCATTCAAGGGTGTCAGACCATAATATAGTTGAACCATTAATCATTTTCGTATTGCGTAGAAGCAATTTGTTGCTATTCTATTTCTTCTTTGATTCTCTCAATAGCGTCACAAAACAAACTAACGAAGGTTGAAAATCCCCATGTAAGGAATAGTTTAAGGATTAGACTTAATATAGTTGAACCATTCATCATGATTGGTTAACACCTAGTTGTATTGAGTGCAAATCACACGAAAGATAACTTGAATTTCTATAGAACAAACTTGCATTGGAGCAAACAAAACAAAGTGAATGGAAAGAAAAACAAGGAAAATAAGATTTATAGACTAGACTTACAAATGAGGCAAGTCCTTGCTTAATAAATATTGAAGAAGGAACAAATGGAGGATCACTCTTTCGCAAAACATGAAAACAGTCAACCTGTAACAACATCAAACAGAACTCAATAACAATCAGAAATATAAGCTAATTTAATAAAATTAAACAGGAAAAAACTCCTCGAAATCACTCAAAAGTAGAGCACTTAAATACTTGATTAAAATTTGTTGCTATACGTTTTAAGTCTAGAAAACTCTAACTTCAGACAGATCAAAAGAGCACCAATTATCATATAACAACAGCTACATACACTCAGAATCTATACCTGTGCATGAGCAACCAAATTCCACACATGTACATAGACTGACCGCTAGAGAATTAAGAAATGTATGTTGATCAATGATGACCAACATATTGAAAAGCTTGCAGCTTCAATCTACCATCACAATTTCCTAATGAATAAAAAATAAATGGAAAATTCAAAAGTTCACTGACAGAATGTAAAAATTCAAGCAATTGACAAGAGATGTAATAATATTTGCAGCAATCGCAAGAGAACTAAACTCTAAACAACACTGTACTGCTGCCAAAAGGAGGTCCATGCCTGAATATGAAAAGTATTGGAATAAATAAATAGTAAAGGTCAAGGCTACAACATTGGCAACTTATGCCTATCAATAATAAAAGTTATAGAAGTTATTTAAGATACAGTAATAAATGCACTATCATCATGGCCAGGGTTTTTAAGGAAAATTTATTTACCAGAGTTTCAAGATAATATTCTGGAATATAAATGAATAAAGAATCCACTTTGCTAAGAACCAGAAGTAGTTGGACTATCCACATGCATGTTGCATACATTCCTCTTTGCTTCCAACGAGAGAAAAGGGAGATGCGATACCTGGGATGAATGTCAAAATGACCAACCAAAACTCAAAATATGAGGAAGCACATCAAATCAAAAAACTTGCTTTTCCTTACTTCAATATCATATGCAGGTAAAGACCAAGATATTCAAACTTAAGTATAACTCTAAAAGTATCCTTCATCAGCGTACCATGCACAATGTCTGACACAATCCATAACTTCTTCTCGATAATCATTACGAACTTCCTTCAGACGTCTTAGTTGGTCACTAGAACCTCTTTCTCTTATCTGCTTATCAGTTTCTTCCAAGAGTGATATCGATTGTGATTGATGAGACATATAATATGATGCCTACAATCAAAGAATTGTTCAGATATATTCCAATATTCTTTAATACGTAAATTTGTCAGCTTATGAGACACGAAGTAACACTAAACGGTCATACGATTGGAAGGCACATAAAAAATCTTAAGGGTAGAAGCTCCTTCTATTTTATTGTTCACAGGTTAACATCTGTGGAACTGTTCACAGGTTCTCTATTCACAGTTCCTCAATTACCCTGTAAACAGCAACCAGAATCAGTGTCTCCTTCAACCATTGCACTACCAAGCTAGTTTTAGTTACAAGTCTCAGTTTAGACAGTTTTCCACACTAGCTTTCAGATAAAGCAAAATCTATCCTAATAACCGGCCATGCAAGATCTCCTAAATCAAATATAGACTTTTTTTGCTGTCCGACATCAAATAGCAAAAATTAATGCATTCTTTTAAAAGAGAAACTGCAACTTTTAACAGAAATTCTCAGCCCAAAAGATTTTCTTACCTGTTTAAAATTTGGTGCCACACCTATGTGATACAACAACAGTAAAATGTCTAGAAGTTCTTCCTCTCTCAGTATAGCTGAAGAGATATCATGCTCCCTTGGCAAAATCCTCATATCCAGCATAGGGCGATAACCAAACTCTGATTCAGATTGATCGCTGGTACTAGGCTTGTCTGCAATCTCATCATTCAAACTTCCTGCACTACATTCTGCAGCAACATGAGCAGACCTGTCTGGAATAGGCGTGCAATGGACACGAGAACCTTTAGCTGTGTATCTAATTTGATGTTTTGACATTTTTGACAATTCTACATCATAACTTGAACAACAACATGGTTTCTGCGTGGTATTGTGTGTTACTCGGGTTTCTTCATCATCCATACAACCTTCTTCCCACCGAATTACTTCCATTTCTTGATCATATACAGGATGAGATTTTGATAGATGACTAAATGATCCCCCAAGTCTAGAAATGTCAGTTCGATAAGATTCATTTTTCAGAAACAAATCTACAGGGAAACTCTGTTTACCACCTCTATGAAGAAATCCAAGATGATTATTTGTTTCACAGCTCTTCAACCAGCCACAGATCTCCCTCATAGCAAATCCTTCAGATAGAAAATGAAGTATAACTGTGTACATCGAAACAAGAACAGAGTTGCTTGAAACTCCAGGAGGAGGGACATTGCGATCTGCGCCTCTATTCTTCAATAAAAGATTCTGTAAAATTGTCCTAAACACTGAACCAGGTAACTGAGGAGGTGTTGTAGGTGGAACAAACTGTATGACCAGAAAACATAGGTCCCTATGCTTCTCCTCAATCTACAAACGAAGAAATAAAGAATTAATAGGCTCTTGATCAATACAGAAATATGCTAAAATAAGTGCCCAATGAAAAAATAAATTCAATTAAAGTTCACCATATATAAAAAATACAGAAACAGAACTTAAGGAAATTCCGGGGAAAACAAATTTTCCATTAAACATTTCAAATCAAATGCATCACTGAAAAAAAAAAAAAAAAAAAAAAAAAAAAAAAAAAAAAAAAAAAAAAATCGATATTTTCCATTATGAACATTTCAGAATTCAAATGTCATTCACTGTAAAAAAAGAGATGAAAAAAAAAAAAAAGAAAAAAAAAAAAATAAAAAAAAAAAGCTGCTGCTGAATTAGGTGAGAATTAAGAAAGAAAAGCCAAACATTATGAAGGGAACAAGATGAAAAAGACTTTTACCCATGATTTCCAAGTTAAGTTAATGTTTATTCAACTTTTTCAACATAAGTATTATTTGCATAAATGTTCCAGAAGGTTTCTCCTCAGCCATAGTCCCACAGATCAAATAATTCGCAAAGAGCGAGATGGATCAATAATAAGAAAGGAGATTATGCATATTAGAGAATCAGAAAAGCTACAGACGTTTACAAATTGGAGTTAAATTAACATTTTCAAACTTATATCTATGGTGTTAGAGAGAAAATTTTCAGAATTCTGAGCAAGGATGAATACAGTATATTCATTCAAATCACATGAGAACATAAAGATAAAAGAGTTAAGCATCAGATTTAACCAAAAAAAAAAAAAAAAAAAAAAAAAAAAAAAAAAAAAAAAAAAAAGCTCTCTGAAAGTGAATTAGAAAAGAAAAGCAAACATTAGTTGAAAACAGAAAAAAGAACTTTTACCCATGAATTCCATAAGTTAATGTTTATTCAATTTTCAACATAAGTATTATTCATAAAGGTCCCAGAAGTTTCCTCCTCAGCCAAGTCCCACAATCAAATAATTCAAAGCAGATGACAAAATAAGAAAGAGAATGATATTAGAGAATCAAAAGCTACAGACTTACAAATGGCATTAAATTAACATTTTCAAACAATATGTAGAGAGAAATTTCAAATTCTAGCAAATGGAGATACCATATATCATTCAAAATCAATGAGAACATAAAGATAAAAGAGTTAAGCATCAGATTAACCAAATTGAACAAATGATAGGTCAAGATCATGTTGTTCATTGGGAATTGAAGAGGGGAGATCGAGCAGACACTGATTGTTTTCCCCAAGAAATGCACTTTGCATGACTCATCATATGGATAAAAGAGCCCAAAGCCCATGAATCTAAAATTAGTTAAATACAAGCAGCATTGAAATGCAGTGCTACGGACTTAACGAAGCATGAAATTTTTTAGAATGCAAAGAGGCAACCGTCCAAAAAGAAAGTTCAATTCAATTCTTATCATATAGCATTTAAAAATAACTACCCACCTAATAATTTAAAATATTTCCAATAATCATTTATATCGATATAATATAACTTCAGTATCTAAAAGTTATTATTATTCTAAATCCATCTTCTAAATTAACTTTTTAATATGAGGTTTATGCCAAAAATAATCTAATATTTCATGACATAAATCATAACAATTACATTCTTATAGTTAAACAACATTCATATTGAAACAAGATAAAATTGTCTACTATGTCACTATACAAACGAATTATTTGGTATTTCAGTTTAAAATCCAACCAATTTAAGTAATAAATATTGTACCATTTGAATTAGTTGTATGTGCAATTTACAATTCAAAGTACAATCAGAGATAAAAATATAATACATGTTAGCTGAAAAACTAAGGAAATTGGGTATCATGAAAATATTTAAGCTATGCTATATTTTAGTAATTGTAAGCAAATACTGTTCCTAGACTATTGTCAAAAAAAAGATAAGTGCTATGGTTGTTAGCAAAATAGTCAAATATTTTTAAAGGGGAAAAAAGAAGAAAATAATTAAATAACAAAAAAATAATAATAATCCAACTCCAAACAGTTAGATAACCCAAGAAAAGGGGATAAAAAATAAAATTAAAGAAGTTAAAAGTCAACAAATCACTTTGAACTTGGCTTGCAAAGCACTATATTCCAGGAACTGTTACACTAGTCAACTTTAGCCTATGATAGAATTTGATTAAAAGTAACCATAAGAAGAAGCTAAAAACTATTATCAATAAGGCATACCTTGCTGACTGCTTCAGATAAGGCTGTAGTTGTCAACAACATACTAGATTCATACGAAACATCCTCACACGAACCAGGCCACCAAACAGAAGGCATCAAGCAATGAAGGTCCTGCTTGCTTGGACTCTTTTGTGATAGAAAACCTTCAAACAAGAATTCAAAATCTGGCAACTTCCACCAGAGCACCATTAGTTCTGTCCGCCTGAAGATGTGACATGCCAATGAAAGACAAGAATAAGATCCTGAGTATGGGCATTCAGTTAAAATCAAGGATGCTGTTTTGCAGCCACATGAAAGGGCATTGATAATGTACTCAAACATCAGACGTGATCCTTGAAACTCTAGAAACACATCAATAAATTTATCCAAGCTCAAATAGCCATGTGGTGGCTGCACTCTGAAGACCTCCATCATAAATGACAGAAGCGGACCCCATGCTACATACTCTCTGCTCCCTTCATCAGACTCAAGTAGACAGAAAAATTCCTCACAAATCCCTCGACAGACAGGATAAAATAGCTCTTCAAGAGACACAAACCTCTTCAACCTTCTTAATCTACCAACTACAGAACTATCAGCCCGCTCCATAGAGTGCATATCCAACAACCTTGATAAGCATCTAAGCAACTGAGCAGCCAAAAGGTTTGCAGTGGGAGGTTCCTGAAGGGGAAGGAAGCCTTGAATGGGATATTTAAAGGGTCGAGCTCCAAAATTTAATTCACAGCGCTCACCTTGAGAAAGAGAGATAGCAGGGTAATACCCAAAACTAGGTCCCATCTTGCGAATACCACGAAAGGCAACCCCAAGGGATACACCATTTCTGTAAAACAATATCTCATCATGATCCAGATCAATACAACACCCTATGACATCACCAACAACCCATGACTGGCCATATGGCTCAGCCTCTTTATTCCACTTTCTAACCCTTTTCCCATCAAATGCATAAGAATCATCTGCATCGCCTACACCCTTATGGTCAGTGAAAGGGCAAGATAGAGTTGCCCATCCAAGCTGTTGTACACCAGAAGTTTCTAATATAACTTCATACATCCATTTTCCTTTCCAAACACAAGCATTAGCCCTGGTACTACTGAACATTGCTAAACTCTCTAGAAGCAAAGGGGGTTTAACAATTCTAATGTCGCCACAAATGCTCAATTCTTCAAGCCCAACTTTGTGAGGTCCACAACCATTGTCCGGAAAACAAATCCCCTCCCTTTTGCTAGCCAAAGTATCAGAATTCACATGAAATTTCAAGAATTGATTCTTGATGATACAGCAGATTAAATTGCTGCCAACAGGACTAGTCAATGGACCAAGCGATTTGTTGGGGAGACCAAAAATGAATTCAAGAGCTCTCTCCACGGGTTGATCACCAATATCATCATAACATGAAACCAAATGGGATTTCGACGAATTATCCTTCCCGTCGTCACCATTTAATATTACAGCTAAGCCAGATGAAAGCCCACCAATCTTCAAGCCATCATCTGCCATTTGCAATAAAGAAAAGGGCAATCTATCTAGCTAAACACCACCTGCTAAAAACGATTCAAATTGAAAATTTCTGAAAAAACCTCCAAAGTCAATTTTTTTTACTAGGCATGCTAATTCTTGCCAAACAAAAGCTCCAAAAAGCCCGAGCCATCTGCCATCCTTCTGACTCTGGAACTTCAAAATCTCGCAAAACTCACAGCTCGAATTCAAAAGCAATCTACATGGAAGCATTTGTTGACAATTAAATGAAGAAAAAACACAAATTTAAAACATCTAAGACAAGCACAAAAGCCAACAACTCAATCGAATCTACCAAAAATAAGCAACAATTCATGTCTCCTGTCACTTAAGAATTCAAAAATTCAATCCCAGGTAACAATTCACATTTCTAGTCCACCTTAACTCGATTTCTCAGCGACCAAAAGTAGCAAAACAATCTATCCATCAATCAAGTAAATTACAAAAGAAATCAATCGATTATCAAACGCTATGAAAGCAAACTTTCACCATGAGTATAAATTCATACAAACACACAAGCGTATGCAAACATGCACATGACAGAAAAACATTGAGGTAAAACTTACAGGTAATTGCGCCGTGCCCGTCACGTTCCTTTTTTCTGGAAATAGCAAAGGCGGCGACACCATGTTAGGGTTTTTTAATGCCATATTAAGAAACAGAGCTTTTGAGAGAGAGAAAGTAATTAAGAAATTTCCTTAGAGAGAGGGGGGAAGAAGTGTGGACTCAATAGGAGAATTTCAAGTTCGTTTTCTTTTCCAATATTTACTTTTTTTTTTTTTTTTGGGACTTCAATTTTTTCCAATACTCGAGGAAGAGAAACCCACCAGGTACGAACCAGATGGTGCACCTACAGGGAAGGATAGGCTCGAGCCATTCAGCTAGAGGTTTGGTTAACCGACACGTGTCTTTAAATGAGAGTTTTACCGGTTACTATTTGGCTGGCGGGCCATGCTATCGTGCGCCATCGGTGTATATGTGACAGAAAGTTTAACAGAACCGTTTGTTGTCGCCTGAACAGTGAATACTACTGCATTCTTTTCCATTTCTTATGTTATGTTTGGGGAAGGGGAGGAAGTAAAATAAGGATGTAAAATTGTACTATTCATTTTATCTCTTTATTTTGTATTTTTATCGGTGTAGAATAAAATATAAAATAATTTTTATTTTTATTATTATATGTGAATAGTAACTTTTCACCTATTATTTTTTATTTTCGCTCCATTTTGGGATGAAAATTGTACAAAATAAAATAAATTTAGTTTATTACACCCTCTATTTTACATTTTCCATATTTTATATCCATCCAAACAAAGCTTAGAGTCGATCTATGAAATTGTTTTGTGTGTGTTACACCCAAACCATAAATTGTTTCTTATTAATTTCTATTTTTTATTCTTCATAATTAGGAATATTCTTAAACCATCCTACACATATTAACATTAAAGTCTTGACTTTAATGATATCATTATCAATGCATTTACTTAGAGCGTTTTTTGGCAATCTCGATCTTCTTCACCTGTTCCGCCTATATATATAGATTAATCAATAAATATAGATTTAGATTTGCTTACTCTTGGAATTTTGGTTGTGTCCTCAGGATGTTGATGGACAAAGAAGGCACTAGATTTAATTATGCCAATTTAGATTTACATATAACACTTAATTAGTGTTATTTTAGATTTTTAATTAAGTGGGATTCTGCTTATAATTTAATAAAATACTAATAGAAATTGTTTTTTTTTCCTTTTTAATATCTTATGGATTTTCAAGGTTAAGAAATAGTAAGTGGAAGGAATAATTATTAAAAATTGACTGCGCGTTATTCAAACTGATACAGAAAGAATAACGTTCAGTCAAAAATTCATTTAATCTTGTAATTAATGCCCATATCATCACTCAACATTATTATTAGAATTTTTGCTCGGTATTCACATCTTCAATTACAATAGGTAACCCCCTTTAAATATATGTATATCACATCTCATTAGATGATATATGTTGAGAATCTGGGCCCTATGAGTAATTAATCAAATTCAATTATATATTTAATATTAGGCTTATAATGAGTTGGGCTTACCTTTAACACAAAATGGCCTTTTGGTTGGTTCGTCCTTCACATTATATGTCATTTTTAGTTAGTTGTATTTATCCGATGTAGGTAATACCCACATACTCCAACACTCCCCCTCAAGTGGGACTACCCACTTGACAAGCATACCATATCATCAGTGGCTCAACCGAGTGTATTAATTAGATTTGTGGTTGCTCGGTTTATTCGACATCTTCGAGGGATTACAATAGAACCCCTGTTATTAATATTTATTGTATTATCACTATCTCGCATTAGATGGATATTATGTGAGTTAGATCTGGGCCCTGAGTGGAGTATTAATCAAATTCAGATTTTAGTAGTAGGTTTAATTATTTAGGCTTATATAATTAAGGTTGGGGGCTTACCTTTTAACACAAAAGTGGCCTTCTTGGTTGGGTTCGGGCGGGTCCTTCACATTGATATGTGCATTTTTAGTTTAGTTGTAGTTTATTCCGATTGTAGGTAATTACCCACATTGCGTCCAACACTCCGCCTCAAGTGGGAGCTACCCAGGCTTGACAAGCATACGAGTTGGGTCCCAACACGATGGGCTTCTAATCAGGGCACGGAGCCCAACATCGGAAAACTTTCCTGCGTCATGGCAGGGTTTGGCCCGATGCTTGGATGACCGATGTGAGAATCTAAAGGCGGCTTAGGAGTAATTTAATCAAATTCAGGGATTATATTTATGTTAATTATTGAGTCTGTATGAGTGTAGTTGGGCTGTACTTTTTAAACACAAAGGTGGATCAAATTCAATTATATATTTAATATTGAGCTTATAATGAGTTGGGCTTACTTTTAACACAAAATGGCCTAAGCCATTTTGGTTGGTTCACCCTTCACATTACACATTATATGCCATTTTTAGTTAGTTGTATTTATCTGATGTGGATAATACCCACATACTCCAACAATATACACAATCGACCATAATTTTTAATATTCTCTCATCTTTACTCCTATTAGTAAGTATTAACTAATTAAAAATTATGATTTAACACATAAATATTTAACTAAAAATTTCCCATTTTTTAATACTGAGTATTTCTTGGGAGTCATTTAGAGTTACTTAATTTTTTTAAAGCACTAAAAAAATGCTGAAATTGAAAAATAGTAATATTAGAGACATGGGATCATAAGAAAGTCTTAACCCTTGCATTCTGTTTTTGCAAATGTGACGTAAAATTTTTAATATATAAAATATAAAAATTCATTGACTTTTTTATTTTTATAATGTCAAAGTATATAATATTGTAAGCAATTTGCCAAAAGGGGTCTAATTGAAAATTGCCATGTGTTATAATTATTACGATTTAGAGTATTGTTGACGTAGTTTGGTACCACCATATAATCTAATATATAAAATTGTTATATTTTCAACTAACATCATGCCTAAATAACTTTTTAATTTTTTAATTGCATTTTATATGTCTAATTAACGAGTAAATTCTTTTGTGTTTTAGTTAATTACATTATCTAATGAGAATATCAGTTCACATCTTATGTTGGAATTTCTTTCGCAAATGTCAATTGGTAAGCATGGGATCTTAAACCAACCCCTCTTTTGTATATTGTCTAAGTAATTAATTAACAATCTGCACACCAAAAATATTAACAAAAAGAACAAACAAAAAAATTTGAATTTTCTAATGATTGCTATATGTATAATTATGATGGATTTTGAATTTACGTGATATTAAAATATATTAAAAATTTATCAATTAAGTATGATTTAATTAGTCTTTTCATTAATTTGAGAAGCGAAAAGTTTTAAATTTGAACTCTCTGACCACATGAGTATTTTTATTAATTTAGTGATTAAGGGGAAAAAGTTATCCATGTCATATAGGCTATATTGTTATTAAAGATTATTGAACCTTCTAACGAATCAAAATACATATATATGTTAAAATTTTTGATCCTCATGCATACTCTTAAATTGTTTCTCTATTTTTATGTGAATTTGATTTTTAAATGTGAAAAAATAATAATTTTTTATTTTTTTTCAATAAAAATGAAATTTAATTGATTTGAAAATAAAAAACATTTTCTTAATTTAGCCTCAAACTTTAAAATAGAATTACAGGTGAAGATGGTGAAGGTATATAGAGAAGTATAGAGTCCTATGGCTTGGACTTTTTTTTCCTTGAGGTTAGTAATATTGCAAGCTACACAATAGAGAGTACCCTCCTTAGAGTTACCAAATTGGTGAAAATATTTGTGGTCAAATTATAATTCAAGATTTTTCACTCATCAAATAAGTGAAAAGACCAACTAGACCACACGTAATTGGCTCGTGAGTAACTCTATAATTGAGTTTAATGCTCTCCAATATATTTTTTAAAAAAATGAATTTAATTGAAGTAATTTACAATTAACTTTAAGTTATTGAAATTGGCAATGAAATACAAAATTGAAGTTAAAAATAAAAAGCTAACAAGTAACAAATGTCTAAGCAGACACCACACATGACATCCCCACAAAAGAATATTAAAACCCATATAGCATACGGCAAACGCTACAGTACGCCATTAGGACGCGCATTTTTTATACTTTTAAAGATTCTCCTTCCTCTATCACCCAAAGTGCGCACTACGCACCGTGCGTGCACTAGCAGTGGTTCACTGTCGTCTTGGTTTCGTACTTTTTAATCTGCTCTTAATTACTTTTTCATGCCACTTGTGAGTCAAACTTTAACTGTATATCACTATATCACCTACGCACGGGATGCTTGCTACTCGCGGACCCACCTTCATTTCTATACTCGCTTTATTACTTCAACACGTGGCTTGTAGAGCATAAAAAATTCTGCACGGAATACACGTGGAAACATAAAACGTGATTGGTTAGAAATCAAGACACGTGGCATAATAAGGACAAGCTTATACACATCACATGTTTTTTTTATATTTTTTTATTTCTTCTCTAGTGTTTGATGAAAGAGGCAAAAAGAAATGGAAAATGGAAAAGTTAAGAAAAAGTGGACCTTATCTAACATTCTGTTGGAATAGATAAATCATGTCATTGTAGTCTTTTCATGGGGGAGAAATCTAAATAATAATTTATGTGGTAAAAAAGACAAAATAAAATTAAAAATTAAGTACAACTTTTTTCATAAAAAGATCATGAAATATCTGCTTTCATTTTCAAAAATAATTTTATTATTATTTTATATTTTAATTTCATCATTAAATTAACATCTCAATTTTATTTTCTTTTCTTCCCATTTTCATTAATCAATTTAATTTTAAAATGTTTGCTGCATAAATTATTTGTATTGAAGAGTAGTTATGAAGGCCAAGCTCACTCCATGTTTAATTTTTGGCCATCTACCACCAAAAAAATCTATTTATTCTTTTCAAAAAAAATTCTATTTATTTGTATTCGATTATTATTTTTAATGACATTGAATAATCTAATATCTTCTAAAAAAATATGACTTTTCAACTTAATTTGTTATTAAATTTTTATTTTCATTTTCTACTCTTATTTATTGAATTTCATTGTAACTATAGAGCATAGTGTTAAAAAATTAGTAAAAGGGTATTGAGATAATTTAAAATAGAATCAAGATAAACTAATTATCTTCTTGGTCCCTGTGAAAAAAAATTATAAACTGTCAGTAGTTTGAGTGAAATAAATAAAATACTATCTTCAATAATATTGATGGTATATTAAATGAATATAATCATTATTAAATTGAATTAATTTACTATTAAATTTTCTCTAAAAAATGAATTAATTTACTATTAAATTTTTGCCATGCTGAACAGGGAAACTATTAATATAACGATGTATCAATTTCTTAAAAAAGACCCGTTTAGTTGGACCAATTAATTTATGAGGTTTGGATTTGTATCATTTTCCTTGGCCCACTTTAGCTTGAATCCGTAATAGATTCGGATTTCAATTCATAGAACGAGTTTGGATTTATTTTTTAAAACTTTTAACCAGTTTGGACTGAGCAAACTCATTACATAATTAATAAAATTATATATATTTATATAAACTGTAAAAGTTTAAGACTTGTTTTTTTTTTTTTTTTTTAACTTTGAAAGAATTAAAATTGAATATTGATATAAACATTAAATTTTAAAAAATCAATACTAAATATTAAGTTTAAAAAAATTGTTTCTAAAATTAATATTGAAATGTTGCATCAAATATTTGGATTCAACCTCAAATTCAGGATTTTTCAATAGTTTATTATTTAGACATGCTCGGATAACAAATGCCTTTCATTATATTACGTATCATCAAGGCTTACTATTATATTTAAACTTATTATACGTAAATGAATTTTCTATTTTATAATCCATATTTTTAATATTATGTGTGTGCGGACACATATTTTTTAATTGGTTAAATAGAAAATACACAATGCAAATACATGGATTAAAGACATGATATATTTATTCACAAAATCATTCATAAATAAAAATAGGTACTAAATATAAATAGATATATGTACATTTAAAATAAAAAAAAGGGAAGAAACAGGTACTTTACTATTGGATAAAAATAAAAAATTTAAAACACTTTTTTTTTTTTTTAATAAAAAGTCCTCAATCCCATTGTGTACATAAATCTTTGAACATTTATAAAGTTTTTTTTTTTTTATATATTCCATGCATATATAATTACAAATAATACAGTAATAAGCGCATAGGAATATATATTAATCACGTGTATAAAATTATTAACATTATATTTTATTACGATTTTTTTTTAAAATTAATTATTTCATCAGCATTTACACCTAGTAGATTGATAGTCCTATTGCACTAAAATTTGACCTTTTACCTTCAGGGAAAAAAAAAAAAGATAAAGGAAACAAACAAAAGAAAGAAAAGAAAACTTCCATCTCTTCCAGAAGATAATACTAATACAACCTAAGTTGAGTAATAAGTAGAGGTGGATGGATGTATTCTCTAGTTTTCTAAAAATGAAACAAAATGAAAGTAAACAAGTCCTAAATCGTTACTTTGAAGAAAATGACTGTATGTTCAAAATCCCAAGTACTTCACCTCATTATCGTTGATTCCTCCTGTTTCAGAAGGTTGTGGTTGATCAGTTGCTCTCCGAGGAGTGCAGACGACATTCTTTATAATTGAAGAGTAGAGGTCAAATTCTGCCTTCAATTTTTGGCAGCATACTTCTATCCACTTCTCAGCTACACTTGTAGCTACACTATCCTGGTTATCCCTCTCATGCTCCTCAATTGCAGGTCTTATTTCATTATATAAGGAATCAAGCTGTGAGGCCGCTCCGTTCTTCATTTCCTGCATAGTAGAACTCAATTTTTAGCACATTCTGTGAAAATATAATGTATTGTTAAAAAGAGGTAGAGAGAGGACTATCCATCACTTCACCTTGTAATGTGCAATGAACTCGGAAGACTAGTAGAAAAATTTTCATATCATTGATTATTTTTGCTAGGGGGAAAAAACAATTGACTGCCCAAAATTAACAAAGCTTCCAATTCCATGCTGCAAAATCATGTCCAAAAGTAGGCCGCATATTGCATACATATGTACCCATCTTCTTTCCTTGTCTCTTTGCAATTTTTAGGTTTTGAATACATTGGCATTCATGCATCTCTTAGAGCATGTTCATATTAGGTCCAGAATATTCACGTAAAATTATTGCGCAACTCAAGATTCATTAGAAATCATTTCCTCAGTTTAATGTTAACGAATTATACAGAAGCAGATATAACCAAAAGGAAAATTCAACGCAAATGAAAGCTGCCTTTTATCAAGAACATAAATTTTTTCGAAGAATAATATTGCTAATTGCTATTGCTGTTAGCACTCTGATGGGGTCAAATTTGTCATACTTAGATTCTAGATCATATATCATGGAACCATTCCACGAGTACGCTGCTCATTTATATGCATTTTTTTTTCTTTTTTGTTTGTTAAAGTTAAGACCTATTGCAGAGTGGCTTTGAGCTAACCTAGTGAAGGCTTACTGGGAAACTCATAAACTCAATTCTATCAGATCTGTTCACGGTGACAATAGCAAAACCAGGTATAAAATCTATCTAAGTTTGCCAAAACAAGTCTAACTAAAAACGTATATTCATAGAGATAACGGCACTACCTCATATGTAAGCACTTCCTCTTGTGCTTCTTTTAGTGCTAAGAGTTTGACGACTTGTTTTGCATCGACTTGATTTTCTGCCAGATTCTTTTTCTTTCCATTAGGAAACCGCTTTGGACGTTTCTTTGGCATAGGACCTCGCCCTATGTGATAATTACGGCATCCACTATCAGATTCAATGAGAGAGACCATTGCATTGTTTTGCACAAATGCCTGTTGATCATCTTGGGCAAACAAATTTATATCTTTACTTATTTCAGTCTTTACTGGCTTCATAACTGCATCTTCTTCAGATATTGAAGCCAGTGGCTTAACATTAAAAGCGTAAACTGACTGACTTTCAGATCCCACATTAAAATTCGCAATCATAGAGTATTCAACATTTCTGCCAGCATCAAACACAGAATTGGAGGAGCTCACTAGTTTTGGGAGCTTGTTGGCAGGCTCATCTTCTGCAGAATCATAAATTGGAATTTTTTCAACAGAATACCTGTATCCAGAACAAGTCTAAGGCAAATGTTATAACAAAGAATATCACTATGGATAACACATCACAAGATACAGTTCATAGGTATGTGCAGTAGTGCAGGATTTTGGTTTCCACATATACTGGTTTCAATTTATCCAAATTTTTTTAATATCGACCTTCCTGGAGAATGGAATCTATTTTCTCTTGGCATTCATCTGTCAAATAAATAGTTTAATACAGAAACCAATACTTTCAGCAATTATGCAAAATTCCAAAAAAAATAAAGGTAAAAACTTAAGGACCACTATCTTTAAATTAGCTTCCCAATTACCAAATTGAAAGCTCCGATTTCGTGTGATCAATGACCAAATCAATCCAGTCATATCATAGAGCTTTGACTATTTTAAAAGTTCCAAGACAAGCAAAATGGAACATAAGTGCAGCAGCACCAAGACATGGGGAGCTCTTGCATTCAGGGTGCACACAATAGAATTACAAGCCATTAGTTTTGATAAGTAAAAATCAGGTAGGAAATAGATAAAGAAACTAGTTAAATCAATCAACCATGGTAAATTACTAAGTAAACAATGCGTATCCAATGAAATTATTGGTTGAGATGGAAGAAGTACAAGTCACTGCAATACAAGGATTTAAGAAGCCAGAGTGAGGGAGTAACCACTGAATAGTTCTATTCTAGTTGATTGAGGTTATATCATAAGGGCAAGACCACTAATATATTTCCAGAACTCAATCAATATGTTATGACCTTCGGAGAACCATACATTAAAAGGTAGCTGCCACAGAGGTTGGAGAGTCCAAGTTCATAAAAATCCCACATTGAAATCCCATACTTCCAATGTGAGATCCAAGAAAACTCCCATACCTTATCTTGCAACTAGGACCCTACCATCCCACCATACTTTGCAGTCCTAGCGCCAACAAAGGGTTGGCTTTGTGCTAGGGAGGTTGTGTACTATTTTTTCCCCCTAGCTATAGGCAAACACTGCAATACCGACGTCACCACCTAGCCCCGAGCGAACATTGCAATTCTAGCGTCAACACCTGCACCGCTCAGTTGCAACTAGGAGAAACAATGATTGGCTATGCTACCAAATTATTATGAACTTTGGAGAACCAATGCCCCAAAAACTAGCATTAAGATTGGAGAGCCCAAGTTCATACAAAACCCACATTATGAAAGTACCATATTTCCAATGTGGGATCCAAGAGTACAATACATTATCTTGTAACTGGGATCCTGACATAATATGAAAGTATGAAGCTTCACAACATTGCTATTGCCGGTGTTTGCAGCAGAAGAATATCAAAGTGATTGAAGTACAAGAGCAATAAATCTTTCTCTTTTTATTTTTGTTTGTTTATTTATTTATTTTGAGGGATCGAATCCAGAAGAAGAAAAGTTGGTTCAAGGATATTGATAAATAAGAAATAGACGATGAAAGACAATTTGAGCTTTGATGTTGTCTAAAGAGAGCATGAGAAGAATCATTATTTTTTATGTAGAAATAAAACAACAAAAGTCAATGTGCTTTCTTAAGGTTAGATTCTCAGCTTCTAGCCTCAACCTGGTCAAGCTTTGTGCCAGCTCAACTCAACGGATATAGACAACAAAGGAGATTGCATTGTACAGATGACACATGTAGTACTGTATCCATTTTTCCAGTATGTCATAATGTTTTCATACCAAGACTCTCGGAGGCCTTTCTTTATATGCAAGATACAAGGGATAAACTTTAGTGTGATCTTGGAAAACTAATATACCATTGTTTAAAATGAAACCAATAGTATTCTCTATCAAGCACAAATATCCCAGCATTCCTCAAGATAACTAATATGGCTGAAGGGGCCAGAGAACAGAAAGTGAAAGGCAAGCAGCAGCTTTAAACAAAGATGGAATGGTACAAAATAGTTGGAATTATTGCTAAAGTTGGAATAAACCTGAATAGATTATGGCATTATGCACGTCTTGATTTCCAAAATTTCTGACTGTAATTCATCCAACAACAGACGGCATAAGTCTTTTAAAACAAAAATTGTTAAGGCAAAGCAAAAGAGAGGAAGACCCAATTTGAGGAGTTTATATCAGATTCACTTTTCAATCGAAAGCCACCCTCTTGAAGTTTGACTCGGTTAAGTATCTGAGCCAGTCTACCAGTCAACCAGTTATAGGTCCAATACTGAAAAGTGACGGGACAAGCAATACCTTTAAACAAGAATTACAGTCATGAATGTATAAACTTAATTTTATTAGTGATGTTTTATGCAAAGTTTAAAAAAGGCAACAAGAAATAAAAGATGAGGAGCTCTATTCAAAAGATCTATCCCTCTCTATCTATCTATCTCTCAAGTTCCTTCTGACAAGGTTTCTCCTAGAAAATCCGATTGAGATTCTCTCTTTACATCTGTGATACTAGAGACTTCATAATTGCTTCCAGCTTCAGCTGTGCTTTGTTGCTGTTATTTTTAGGTGTGCTGATTTTTATTTGGACCACAAGAGGTAAAGTATGAAACTTAATCTCCCATTGATTAAACTAACGTAAACATGCTATGTGCATCATATTCAAACATTTCTCAAGAATAAAGCTGGTTATTGTATCAATAAAAGTGGAGAGGAAAAATGACAATGATGATGAAATTAAATAATTAGTGATTAGAACTTTAGCATTATACAAAATAGAGAAAAAGAAACATTACCTATCATCGTTGTCTTCCCATAGATAAGTATCCTCCTGTCGAACAAACAGGAAGAAGGAACAGATAAGTAGAACTACATTGTCACAACAAACCAAATAAAAACTAAACAAAGACAACTGAAAGTCTCAAATTGATACTAGCATATGCATCTGTCACAATATTCCTCAAAAAAAATTAAATTTTATTTTATTTATTCATTTATTTTTTTGTAGATCATAAATTCTTAAAAGGGAAGGGGAAGGTCCAAACCTTCGACCTTCTGCATTAAAAGTTAGGTAGTTAACCACTAGGTTACTAGCCAAAGAAAATTGAATGTTATTTTCAAAACTGTAATTTTCAAGTGAAATACACTGGCAAACTGGCCAAACATGTTTTTTGCATTTCTTCAAATTTAGATCCAGAACTATTATAACCATTCAAAATTTACCTGGAAACCACGAGATTTTGCTCCCAAAAACCCAGAACAGCTGTCTGCACGACAGAGGCAACGAACCTTAGCACCACCATACCATTCAAAATTGTAATCATATCCCAGTTCAGTGCCAATGGAAATATCCTGCTTTGCAAATATTCCAACTCTTATTTCCCCCAAAACATTCCACTTTCTTGTCTCACAATTAGGCTGGCTACAATATTTTATATATGAAAAGCCAATGTCAAAACTGGACAAGCACAAGTATCCAAGAAAGTGCAAATTCCCATAAGGAAGCATCTAATGCTTCAATGACTTCTGATTAAAGAGGCTCACCATGAATGATTGATGAATCTAGCTAGGCTGCCCTTTCTAGTGGCATCAATGGATTCAGAGGAGTTGAGTGATATGATAAATGCATCTTTGAGACCTGTATCAAGCCACACAAAAGAATAAAGCCGCTTTTCATAAACAGGAAATACAGACATATAATTGTAAACCATCCAATTATATTTCACCTTGATTTTCATAAGCTTGAGATCGTCGCTTTGCTTCTTTCCATGATATTACTTCCCCACAGTACTCAATAATGAACTGCCCAGCCTGCACTATTTATGAAAGAAATGCTCACTCAGATCAACAATAAACATAACAACTCCACATTTGATAACAACAGCTAAGTAAGGCAAGTATTAGGAGTCGATCAAATAAGCCGAACCAATGCTAAATGTTGGCAAGAGATGCATTAAACATCCTCTCATGATGTTTTCTGCTTCTACAAGATAAAGAGTATACACAGTTGATAGTGTTGTTCTTGCAAAAGATAATAGTCAATCATCTTAAAAGTGACTAGCTTACCAGAGATTCCACTGAACTATGAATCTTCTATATAATTGCAAAAGTTCATGCCAAGGGATCAGTTTTACCTTTATTTCCTCATCAGCAAGAAGACCCCATCCACGGTCTTCAGTTTTAAATAACTTTGTTTTAGCATACTCACATCTCTGAAATCTCTGTAACAACCGGAAAAGGGGGGGGGGGATATCTGCTTACTTAACATAAGATAAGAAGTATAACACAGTTGATAGTGTTATTTGTTCTTGCAAAAGATAATAGTTAATCAATCTATTAAAAGTGAACTAGCTTATACCAGAGATTCCACTGAACTGATGAAGTTCTAATAATAAATTTTGCAAAAGTTCAATGCCGAGAGCTGGATCAGGTTTTACTTCATTTCCCTCATCAGCAAAGAAGACACACCATCCACGGTCTTCAGTTTTAAATGATAGACTTTTGTTTTAAGCATAACTCACATCCTCTGAAATCTACTTAACAACCGGAAAAAAGGGGGGGGGTGTAAGCTAAACTGTTAGTATTGGAGGTACATGATGAACACTCAAAATAGTCCACATAACTATTGAAAAGATTTAGTTAATTAAAGCTAGGAAATTGGTCTGAATATAATATGGGAGGAGAAAATATATACAAGCTTATCCAAAACCAAAATAAAAGAACATCTGCTTGGAGGGCAAGGGGGGGGGGGTGTAGCTAAACTGTTAGTTGCGGTCATATGAACCTCAAATGTCCACATAACTTGAAAGATTTAGTATAAAGCTAGGAATTGTCTATATTATGGGAGGAAAATATATTAGCAACTTATCAAACAAAATAAAAAGAACATCTGCTTGGGAGGGCAATTAAAATATGTTGTCTAAGAGAATGTGTATCCAAATTATGTTCAACAATATGATTCTGCATAAAGTGGTTTGCAAACATAGATTTTGTTTTCTCTTCCTTTGGGGTTCAAAAAGATAATTTCACATAAACTTCACAATTAAACAATTCTTTACTTACAAAATAAAGAAATTTTAACATGAAAAAAAAAGGTTATTACAAATTCTGAAAAAATGAAGGCAAGAAAGCCCAATAAATATGCACATATGCATTCTTCAAATCCATTGACCATGTCAAACACCAGAATTCCACGACGGGATAGAAAAATCTACTCAAAGAATTCAAAAGTATATATGCGCCAACAGAGTAATTACTTATGATCCTGGCCTTATCTTTTATATATATATATATATATGAACACAAATAAAAATATGCCAGTTAACCTGATTCTTGCAAAAGATACCACAACGGCAATAACCAGGAGTGCATTCTGTGCTAGTTAAAACATTCAAGCACCTCTCACCACAAGCACTCTCAAGATCACTGGCGTCAAATCTGCATTCACATATGGCAATGTCCTCTTCCTTTTGCTTCCTATGTCTGAAATAATTACCAAACAAACAAATGAAAAAATTTTCAGTGATTGCCATCATCATTTAAGGAAAAAAAAAAAAGAAAGAAAAAAGATAAGACTTACTTTCTATGCGAAAACTCATTCTGTTGAATGTGCTCATACTGTTGCTGTGCTTCGATCCACAAATCCTAAAGCCAAAAAAAATGTTTTATTTAAAACAGGAAAAATAAAGAAATGGAAAATGATTTTTGGATTGAACAGCGCATATACCATCTGAATTTTATATACAAGTAGCAGATGAAACAGGAAAGGAAAGGTAAAATGAAATAAAATCCTTCACTTAGTATGTTCAAGAAGACGAGAAATAGAAAACACCTAAGTTGAATTAGGTCTTCATACAGTTACTAAAAATTCACGCATTTTAGGGTTGTGCCAACGGGACGAGAACGAGAAACAGCCTGTGGCAGTTCCAGAACAGGCGCACGAGGAAAAGAGGAAGAAGATAGAAAAGTACAAAAACGACGCCGTCTTAACTGTAAACTTTGAACCTTCTATTTTGTAGATGGGGCCCGGAATTTAAGAATTTATTTGCATTTAATTTTTAAAATCAATCCAGAAAACATAAGCTCATTTGGTATAAATAAAAACATATCTTCTATAAGTAATAAAGATAATTGTGGTATCTTTTTGTTCGAAAAAATAAAATAATAATAAATTGTTAACTTTTTTGTTTAGATTTATTAACTTCATATACTCCTTGCATTTAGATTTAAGAATTATTTTTTAATTAATTAACAAGTTAGATTTGTTTAAAAAAGAAAAACAAAAAGGAATAAAAATCTTAAAATAGAAAGTACTAGTATTTTAAATCAAATCAATTTACATAACAGGACAAGATAACCCTAAATTGGTAAAAACTTATGTAATTAATATGACTCTGAACTTTTTACTTCATATTCATGAAAATCTTAACTTGAGATCTCTCAGATCTCTCACTCCTCATATAAATGAAAAGATAAATCAAACTACATATGGTTGACTAAAGTAAATATATAAAGCTTTGTTCTGTAAAAATGATTGTAATAAAATTACTATATTCTTTAGGAGAAAATAGGTGAAACCATTGATTAAACTAAGTTGTTTTGTATGATTTAGAACAAATTGTTGATAATTAGTATACTAAATAAGTATAATTTAATTTTTCAATTTTTCAATTTTTATTATTAATAATTTTGCTATTAATTAATATATCATTGTATTTTATAATTGCTAGTTTTATTATTATAAGTGTTGTACGTATTCGTTTTTTATTCGTTGTTTATACTCCTTAATTTATTTTTATATAATATTAAGTATGGTTATGATTTTTCTCTTATATTGTCTTAATTTTTATAATGTTAAAGCATGATTTCAAATGCAATAATTTTCAATTAAAATTCATCTCTATTTAGATAATATTCATATTATAATTGATTGCTAATATTTTTAAACTAATGTTTACATGATATAACGATATTAAGAGTGAAATGAAATGCACTTAATAAAATAATTGCAGATAATAAATAAAAAATTATTATTAATTTTAAAATTATACTTAATTAATATCTAATATTTTATTTAAAAAAGTATTTGACTAGAAACAAGCAACTAATGATAAATTGAATTTTAGCTTTTCATTAATTTTCACTCCAATCAAAAAAGGAAGAGGAATAGCAAAAAAATAAAAAATAAATCAGAGACATGTATTCAGCAATTTTAATATCTATTGATATTGAATTACAATTTTAAAATATACAATTTACCTCCTGCCAATGATCTAATAGATATTAAGATTTCACATGTGTTTGTGTGGATTATATTTAAAAATTCAAAAGTTAAAATTATCTATTTATATAATTATTTAAATACTATATATATATATGTGTGTGTGTATATATTAAATTAAAATTTTTTGATTGGAAATAATTAAGGATATTATAAGGGACCTTTTCGGCAATACCAACTGTTCTAAAGATATTAGTTATTTTAATAATTATTAACTAGTAGATGTTGGTTAGTTGTTAGCTATTTAAACTGTGGCTGAAGGCGAAAGTATTCAATAAAAATAACTGTTTTATTGCAAATAAATTTAAAATGATAAAAAAAGACATTCAAATATTTATCTATAATTTTCAATTAAATTCATTATAAAAAAATGATTTCACTAAACCTAAACTTTCAGAATTAAAAGTAGCAAAAATTGAAAAGTTCATTATTTTATAAATAAATTGAAAATTTTTAATATTTTAGGAGATCAACATTTTTAATTTTTAATATTTGTTTGACACTAAAAACCCCCTTTTTAAGAAAAAAAAAAAACCCTTATTTTATTTTTTTAATATTATTATTTCCCACCCCCCAGAATTAAAAAGTAGAAAAATTGAAAAGTTCCTTATATATTATAAATAAATTGAAAATTTTTTAATATTTTGGAGATCAACACATATTTTTTAATTTAATTAATATTATGTATTGAGTATTAAAATAAAATATAATAAAATAAAATTGAAAATTTTTAATATTTTAGGAGATCAACATTTTTAATTTTTAATATTTGTTTGAGTTTAAATACAAATATATAAATAACGTTTTTTTTTTCCCTTACTATCAATTATAAATAAGTTTTTTTCTTTTACTATCAATTATAAATAAGCCAGATATCAAGATAATAAACATGTAATGTGATAACAAAAGAATTTTATATTAATTAAGGATAAAGTTGTAAAAAAAATTTCAATAAAAAGAGTGAAACGCTAAAAATCAGGCGACATAATATTTTAGAAAACACTTCATAAATCTTTGAAAGCTACTCTATATATCAAGTTACCAAATACAATAGAAAAATAATATTTTGACTAATTTAAAACACTAAAAGCTACTTGAAACAATCCGGAAAATTATTTTCAAAAGTTTTTCATTTAAAACTTTAAATATAAATTCTAACCAATCATATTGTAGGACATTATTATATTTAAAAATAATAAAATTAATGTCTTCTGAATTTATTGAACAAATTTATTGCAAATATATTTTATATTTACTAAACCAAATCGTAAAAAAATTCACAAATTAATTGAAAAACCAAGCTAAAACCATGATTTAAGCCAAACCAGACTCAAATCGACCCAAATCCCATCAACCAATAAGAAAATTCTAGAAACTTAAAAATACCAAAAAAAATCTCCATCCTCATTCTCCTTTCTCTCCCAATCGTGCCACATCCCCTCCCCCTCCCCTTTTCATTTTACGACCGCCTGAGACCAACGTCGACTCTGCCATCGCCTCCTACCGTCGCCATCACAGCTCCCTTGCCGCTCTCTCTCTCTCCCTCTCCTCTGTTATCTCAGGCCTACGCAGCCAGCGCAGGAGACCTACGATTTTGTTCGACCGAAAAATCGCGTCTCCTGCTCTTCGACTTTCTGGCGACTCCAATCTCTATCTTATCGACGACGAAGCCCTAGACTCTCTCTCCCTTTGTTTCCAGTCAGCGCAGCTAACGAAAAGAGCTGCGTTGTTTTCCGATTGGGCAGTAGAGCCATTAGCACTCTTTCTGGGTTTTCCGGCAAGACCTGTCACCAGCTGGCGAAATCGGCTTCTCTTTCGCTGTCAACTCCTCACCGGCGTATTTGCAACCTCTATTCTCATACATTCTGGCTATACTAACGCTGGGAGAACTGGATTTTGAGCGTTAGAGCTTCTGCCGATCCTTTTTAACCCAAAAATTCTATTTTCAACTTGTTTACAACTAGACCGAGTTCGTCTACCGCTCTTACCAAGTCAAATCTCAAGCCACAGCTTCCTCTTTTCTCTATGGCTGTAAATAATAATAAATAGGACATATCATTATACATACATACATTCTTTATCATATAAAGAAGCTTATAAATGTTAAGTTAGTAATCATTTTTATATTATTATATTATTATTAATATATCATTATTAATATAATCATATATTTATATACTTATATTATATATTTATATACTTATATTATAATTATATTTTTTTATGTTTGTATATTAATTGGTAATTTGATACATTATGTTGAATAAATTGTTTGATTATTTGTACGATGATATTGTTATGCTTTGTTTGTGTAGAATTATAATAAAGTGGGTTACCACGGTTTTGTGAGAATGGTCATAGATACTGTTAGCCTTATATGGGGAGATTAATGCCCTGTGTGTATCTGATGATATATGAAATGAAAAACTACAGGTGGTTGCCTGTTGGTATGAAACGAAAAGAGAGTATAAAAAAAATAAGAAGGATGATCAAGCAAGGATTTGATCGGTCGGCCATGTATGGGAGATCGGTTCTCTGGTCCACACATTTGAGAGGGCGGTCATGTGTGAGGACGGCTCATCGGGGGTTTCCGTGACGCCATTGACCAATTTTCATTCGTTTGATTATGTGAAGGTGCTATTGTTTGCAGTTGTTATTGTGGTGCCATATGTATGACTGATTCAAGTGTTCACTTAGTTGTTATTGTAGAACTCACTCCCATTTTTATTTAAATTTTTCAGGAAATAGTCTTTCTCTGTTCCTACATTAATTCTGTTTCCCACTACCATAAAGCTAAGAATGTATTAGTTACTTATAACGCTCGCTTTTTCCATGTAATTACTATTTATATGATCAGTGTAATTACTATTTATATGATCAGGTTGTAAGTAAATTTTAGTTGAGCTCCGCAGTTAATAGTTTCTTCTAATATATTTATTTGTAGAAACACAATAAAATAGTTACATTTTCAATGTAAAGATTCTGTTAATTTTGGACGTATGCATTTGTGAGCTAGAAGCCCATAGTGTAGTTGTTATACGCTTATGTGATTTACATTTGATTATATGATAATATGATCGGCCGTAAACTTAAATAAAAATTTTACGTATTTTATGGGCTTATTGTTTATAAATAAAAGTTGGGCTTCATTTTAGATTAGTTAATGATTTAGATTTACTACGGGTTTTGGAAAATTTATGTTTACCTAAGTTCTAGTGCCGGTGTGGCCCACGAATTTAGGTCGTGACACTACTCTAAAAGCTACCGTCGAACGCGCCCAAGATATCATTAAAGATGTTTTAAGAAATCTTATTATTCTATGGATAGAGATATAAATATAGATTAATGTTGAACAAAATATATTATTTAACTTCTTTAAAATTTTTTAAAATTAAGATTTCCAAAAATATTAAATTATTTATTTTTAGTAGTATAATTTTATTGTAAATGGTTAATAATGAACTCAACGAAGACATATATTATAGTTTGTCTAACGCAGGAATGGATGACTAATATATTTATTTATCTATATCTATCTATACTTCTATACTATATATAAAAATGAGAACAAGGGGGAAATAATATATTTGCCGATATTGTTCTTGTGAAATTTAAGATATCCTAAAATAATGTTAGTCTTAGCTAATTAAAAAATTTTAACCTAAAAATATATAATATTTTTATAATTTGATTGGATGTTTTTTTTATTTTTTTAATAGATAAATATATAGAAAATTAAGCATTTCAAATTTTAAAATTTTAATATTATTATCTTATGTCTAATTATATTTTATTTTATTTTATTATTATGTAAATTTTTTTCGAAGAGATATTATTATGTAAATTATTAATAATAAATAATAATAATTAATAATGAATAAATTATTAATTTGTTATAAATTTTTAATTAGGCTTCAGCATATTATTTTAAATAATATATGTAAAATATACAGGCATTTGAATATATTTTTTTAATTTATTTTTAAATAAATCATATTCTAGCATGATTCAAATATTTACTGGGTTAAAAAAGACCTATGATTAAATTTTTTTCTTATAACAAATTGCCACATTCTAATTTGTTTGCCAAAAAATAAGAATAAAAAATGTAAATTATTAATAATAAATTAATAATTTTTAATAATTTATTATTGTTATAATTTTTAATTTAGCTTCAGCATTATTATTTTAAATAATATATGTAAATATAAGGCATTTGAATATATTTTTTAATTTATTTTAAATAAATATATCTAGATGATTCAAATATTTACTTAAAAAAGATATGATTAAATTTTTTTTTATTACAAATTGCACTCTAATTTTGTTGGCCAAAAAATTAAGATAAAAAATAAACATCTCGAATTTTATTAGTTACATTAATATCTTATAAAATTCAAATCCTATTTCTATTAAAGAATATAATTTTATTAATAATTTTTTAAATGCTTTCATAATCTTAATTGGATAAGAAAAAATAAAAATGAAAATTTATTATTATTTGTAAATATTTAATTTGATTTATTAGATTGATTTCTTTTTCTATTGTTAAAGTATATTTGTTTACCACAAGAGATTATGGTGAAAGTTATTAACAAAACATGTAACTTAATTATAAAACTTATAATAGAAACCATAAAATGATTTTTATAAATCAATTTAGTTTTTCTTTAAAAAAGAAAATGAAAGCAACTAATGTATAATAAAAACTGTATTAATAAGTACGTTGACATATAACAAAAAAAAAAAAAATATATTTATTGTATCTATAAAGTGTAATGTATTTTAACTACTGAATCTAAATAAAAATTTATACCTTAATATCGTATAAATAAAAAAAATTAAACGAATATATAAAATGACCATATAACGAGCATAGTCAATATGCATTGCACGTCATAAAAAAGACTAGTAATATTAAGGTCATGTTCGGCTGCAGCATTCGAAGTAATGTTTAGTGTTTTGATAGAGTTGAAACACTATTTTAATTAATTATAGCGTTCAGTAATACAATATCTACTCTAGCATTTAGAGTTTGAGACAATGTTTTATGAAACATTATCTTCATTGATGTTTAGCGTTTTATAATTTTTTCATGACAATTATACTCATCACTTGTCTTTATTTTGTTCTTCGCTTTCATACTTTTTTTGTTCTTTTATATTAAACAACTAATCAAACATTTATTTGTATCAAACAATTTTCTTTTAAACCGCTATATAATCGTTAACTACTAACAACTAATATTTAACAGCTAACCACTAGTAAAACAGTTGACAGCTATTAACAGCTAATATTTAACAATTAATCACTAGTAAAATAGTTGACAGCTATTAAAACGGCTAATAGCTACTATAATAGCTAAATTTGCTGAGCAGACCCTAAAATAAATATATCACCTTCATCTTATTTTTTGTGTAAACCACCGGTATTTGGACCCGGTTACCAGAGACCCGCTAATCCGACTTAGGGTTTAGTTACAATTAAAGCTTTTGTCCCTCCCTACAGGTGTGTTTAGTGGGACCAAACCCAAGAGCTCTTTCCACATACCCAGCATGCGTTGCCAACTGAGCCACAATCCATAGGTACAACTTCATTTTTATAATCAATGTAATATTCAAGGAAAATAACATTTAAACTTCATAGTTTGAATTCTATAGTCTCAATCTGTTGAGAGAACTTTCTTTTCAAATAGATTTTATAAAAAATCTTCATTTTCTCCTAAACATCCAAAACTGAAAAAAAAAAAAAAATTGGAAATTCTATCACCAATAGCCTAATCTGTATAGTTTCAAACATTTTTATCATTAGGTCGATTTCAATATGGATTTGTCAAAACGGATGAAATTAACCGCCCCATCTGGACACCCGATCCCGACCTCGACCATTGGTGTCATGCGAGAGAAATAGTTAACAGTAGCACACACTATAATTAACAACACAAAGCATTCCATTTTCACGACAACGTCAAATTCCAAAATTGGTCATGTAGGACCTTTTAACCATTTATATAGTTTAAGTACTTCTTTGAGAGAAATAAACTACAAGTATCACTTGATAAGAAAACAATAGAACAATACAACTGTGCAAATTCCAAAATCAAACAAACATTATTTTCAATAAATTTGTAAATATTAATCTCTAATACTTTAAATTCTGAACAATAATTTCTATCTAAAATCTATACTAAAAATCTCTTACTTGTGCATTTCTTTACAATGCACATTGTTAGGAGACCCTTACCCTCTCAAACAACTAGTCTATTGAGGTATGTAGCATCCACGCTCGTGAGTTTAAGATTCCACTTGAATTTTTCTGATGTGAGATTTCATAATCATGAGTTCAAGATTCTACATAAAAGATTCCATAATCTTGTGACGCTCTTATAATCTTGTAGTAACTGTCAACTGTTTTACTAACAGTTAGCACTTAGATATTAACTGTTTATATAGTGGTTCAAAATAGAAATATTCGGTAAAAATAAAACAAAGAGTAAGGTAATAGAAAACAGAACAAAGACAAGTGATGGGTATAGGCGTCATACAATATTTATAAAACACTAAATATTAATAAGGATAACGTTTCATAAAATACTACTTCAAATTCTAAACGGTAGGATAAATGCAACATTATTAAACACAATAATTAATTAAAATAATGTTTTAACCAAATAAAAACACTAAACACTAGTTGCAGCCTTAGCCGCTTGACAATATACACTACAAAAGCTATTTACATTTTCGTAGCAAACCATTCACTCGTTATAAAGGCTATTCAACCAATCAACAACTTCAGTTATAAAAGGCCTTTCCATCATTATTTCACTAGTACACATTGAGGCAATTGTAAAATATTCCTTCACTTCATCTTCACTTAACTCGTCCTTTCCCATTGTTGAATCTAACATTTCCATATGTTTATTTTGCTCCAACATTTTCCTTGCCCATTCAATCAACCCTACCTCCTTCCCTTCCAAAACCATGGGCAAATTCGGCCTTTCCCCAGTTGCAATCTCAATCATTAAAATTCCAAAACTATACACATCTGCTTTAGGCGTTGCAATTGTTACCCCTTCCTTGTACTCCGGCGGCATGTATCCCATCGTTCCGGCCACCTGTGTTGACACGTGTGAATGTGATCCGTCGATTGCGCGTGCGAGCCCAAAATCTGCAATATGGGCCACGAAGTCCAAATCCAATAGAACATTACTTGCCTTGATGTCTCTGTGTATGATTGGAGTTTCAAGTTGATGCAAATATGCAAGTCCACTGGCCACGCCTTTCACTGCCTTAATCCTTGCTCCCCAAGACAACGGTGGCCTTGGGAACTGCTCGTTATCCGGTAACGTGTCGTGTAGCCACATATCAAGGTTACCTCTCTCCATGAACTCGTAGATTAATACCCTATCAACACCGGAAACACAGTACCCTAAAATTCGCACGATATTTCGGTGTCGGAGCTTACCTAAGGTTTCCATCTCCGCCCGAAACTCCCGAAAACCTTGAAAAGCGTTGGGGTCAAGCTTCTTGATGGCGACGGTAACGCCGTCAGAGAGCGTAGCTTTGTAGACGAAGCCAAAACTGCCGTCCCCGATGATCAAGTCTGCAGAGAAGTTCTTTGTAGCGATTTTGAGCTCCTCCATGGAGATCCGATTCAGACTTGGGTCAAAAGTGGCGCTTTCATCAATGGTTATGGAGGATAGCTGCATATTACTTGGTACTGTTCGGTTACCGGTCCAGCCGCGGGTTTGGAGGTTGTGAAGGTGGTCGTGGCGTCGATAGCGAGTTTTAGAGGATTTGCAGAAGAGCCAGATGAAAGCGAAGAGAACTGTTATTAAGAAGAAATTTGCAGCGGCAGCAATGACTGCCTGTAAGACTGGGTTCATTTTAGAGATAGGTTGTAGAGAAGAGTGAAATATTTTAGAGAGAGAAAGGAAAATTAGGGATTGAACAAAAAGCCGCCATTGAAGAAAATCATTGAGTGTATAAGGTTTTTTTCTAAGGAAGATGAAGGGAGTCGTTGTAGAAGAAGTCGTACTCTAGACGAGTCAACCAGGGAAGGTGGGTGGTGATTCTGTAGAGCGTGGTGGACGGTGGAGTTGAATCAGGAGCGTTCGTAGGGCACAAGATTAAAATTTGGTAATTTCTCACTAATCCATTATTGATTTGCTTCCGGAAGGTCAGATTTTTAATGTCCAGATTATGTAAATAATATACTTCCTTAATTAATATTTTTTTTTCATAATCGAATTAGAAAAATAAAATTAATATGATATGTAAACAGTGTTTGCTTAGAAAGTAATATTTTATCATTTAAATAAAAACACAAAATAAAAAACTTTTTAAAATTTATTCAACAATGATTAGACGTATTAACATAAATTTAAGTTTTATTTTTGTAAATTGCCAGTATTCGAATCTTATTATCAGGATCGCCTAATCCGGCTCCGGACTTAGTTATAATTAAAACTCTTTGTTTTTCTTTTTTTTGCATGTGTCTTTAGTGCGAATCGAATTCAATAATTCTTCCCACGTACCGAGCTATTAACAACTTACCGAGCTATTATCAACTGAGCCACAATCCGTAGGTAAAATTTTACTTTCTTTTTAATAAAAACATAATTAAATTTAATATTATGAAAATAGGTATAGTAGTCGGTTTTTTTGTAATGTTAATTTCTAAATTATTTGTTTAAATAATTAATTATGTACATAAAAGCTCATTTTTAAGATGGTATTATTTTGATTTGTTAAACGTTGGAGCTTTTAGGTACATATTCAGCAAAATTAATTATTTTAATAGTTATTAGTCATTTTAATTAGATATTTTATTAGTTTTTTATCAAACATCAAAAGGAATACTATTCTCACTCTAGTGCTATATAAAAAATTATTGTTGAATAAAGTCTAGAGAGTATTTCAAAAAATGTTTTTATAACATTAATGATACCAGGTCCGGATAGTATTTCAAACAATGTTTTATAATATTAATGATACTCATGACCGTATAGTATATTTTTTGAGAAGAGTAAAAGAACAAATGGAGATGAGAAAACAATTATCAGAATATGAATAATAATATTTAAGAGCTATAAAACTTACAAAGAAACCATAAAATTAACAACAAAAAACCATTGCGTTGAAAAATCATATAACTCATAAATTAAAGAGAGTTAATTTTTAAAGAGCTGTTGAGCTTAAAATCTATTAAAACTATAGAGAATATTAAGGAACATTGTGTTTAAAGTCAGAAAGGCCATAATTAAAGTGATTTTTAAAGATTTATTATGTTTAATATTCATAAATTAGATAGGCAACAGAGGCATTTTCTCTTCAAAAACTTTAATTTTTATTAACCAAATTAATACAAAATGCTCAAATTATAAAGAGTTTTACTCTTTAAATAGAGCGTCACATCACAATCTAACAATTCTCCGTGGTCCTAATGATTTGAATTTTGATATTTTTATGTATGGAAAAGTTGGGTAAAGTGTCTCAACAGTGGCGAAGAATTAAATATTTTTGAACCAAACATATTGATTCATGTGATGCACATACACATACACATCACCGTCTGTGCGGATTATAAAACCATTAAATTAGGACTTTGCACATGGCGATTTCATCAATAAAGCTAACATGGGAATTGTTTTATGTCCGGTGCTTAATCGCCTGAGCATGTGCATTGCATTATATTTTTTTGTGGTAATATATAAAGTATAAAAGAACCAGATGGTGGTGGGAATCTCAGGAAGAAAGCAAATTGGTAAAATAATATTTCCGTATTTGGTTATTGTACAAATTTTACATTTTTAAGGAAAATTAAAAATTTCTCTCTACTATTTTTATGTATATGGAGAAGTGTTCTTACATGTTCTATTATATTTAAAGAATACAATGATATTGACGTTATTAATTATAAATATGTAATATTCTGTTTTTTTAATTCTAAAGCTCATATGAAACACCACGAGGCGATCTTACCTCAACAATAATTGCATCTAATGATGCAAATCATTAGCCACCTGGGAGTCAATTTTACTTTATAAAATATACATATACATAAAATGGCCGAATATATAAATTTATTTCGAAATTTTATTACTTTAATTTTGTGGTGCTTTTAACTTTTATTTTAATCTATTAAATACTTTAATTTATAAAATTAAATCTATTAAACACTTTAACTTATAAAATTATTTTATTAAACACTTCAACTTACAAAATTATATCAATCGAACACTTATTTCATAATTAAAAAAAATGTGAAATTATTATTGTAAAAGTTATGCTAACTACATATCAAATCAGTATTTTGCACATAAAAGCTAAAAAACTTTAAAAACTATTGTTATTAATATGTAATGATGCGTAATATTATCAAAATTTGCAAGTTCAAATGCTCGATAGCCGTTTACAAAATTCAAAGTGGTACAAGATTAAAATTGCAAAGTAAGGGATAAATTTGTATTTGGCCATGATAAAATATAATTATAATGTTGTATTATCAATTAAAGTTACTACAAATGTATAATTTATCAAATTCATAATAAAAAATAATATATTTATAGCCTAATTAACTAAGAATGTTTGCTTCGATTACCAATTAATTTGAATTCACAGTCAAAACCTAATTCTTATGTTTTAGCAATTGAAAAAACTAAGTTTTCCTTCCGTCTGTATCATTTCAATTTTATTATTCATCTATAACCAACGGGATAAGCTTACCTAGATCATATCGATCTCATCCAAACCGATCAAAATATAAATTTTTGTTAAAACGAGAGATTTCATACCATACACTAAAAAAAATGTGAACAATATTTAAAAAAATTCTTATTTTTATTGATTGATTTATAGGTAAGATTGTAGACTCGGTTTAGGTAAGTATTTTACATAATGAAATAAGTACGCTCCTAGTATTATGATAAAAAAAATAATAAAAAAGAACAAAATAAGTAATCGCTTTATAATATATATTATTTAAAACTATGTGTAGTCTGGGGTCTTCTCACTTATATAAGGAGTTAAAAGTTTTGAATTCGAATCCGAATCTTTTTTATTCCAAGAGTTTTCACCAATGATCAAGTTATTTCGAATCATTAAGCCTTTTAATCAATTAAGAAAAAATAGAAAACAAGTAATCACTCTATATGTTCTTTAAAAACTCATGTGCCATTGTGTCTTGAGCACCTTTTTGATGGGTGATCAAGTTATAAAAGCTCCTCTTCCATAACTAATTTTTTTTAATGCAACGGAGGGCAATGTAATCTATAATTTTTAAGTGGGGTTATATATATACACTTTTAATTTAAAATATTTTGATTAGGAAAGTGATAAGGAAAATGAAAAAAAAAATTTAAAAATTCAAAACTTAAAAAAACTTATACTGTACTTGATTGTAATTTGAAAGATGTCAATTGACCCATTAAAAACTTTAATCTTATATCTATTAAAATATATATTTAATATTTTATTATAATCTAAATATTTTTGACATATAATGAAAATAAAAAATATATATGTTAATTATAAAAAATACATGTAATACTTGATTGTGATATCTAGTTATTTATATATTTATATAAAGTTTTAAACATCGAGTTGGTGCTCTCATTTCTTAATATTCTATTTCTCTTTTTCATATATAACTTTAAAATTAATTACTTCATTTTTTTTAGAAAATTTTGATTGGATGGTTCATTTATCTGTTATTCAATAGTTAATTAATAATATATATTTATAAGTAATTGTTAAAGATAATTGTTAGATTATTCATATCTCATTTTCCTTTCATTAAATTTGAAATCCACAATCATACATATATAAATATAGATAATGATAATTTTTATTTATATTTTTCTAAATTGGTTGCTAGGTAAGGAGTGAATTTATTATTGATTTCTTAATCACGTGTTTAAATTTTTTTTTAGCAAAAACTTTTATATGTGCATCAGTGCATGTACATATGTTAAAAAGTATTTGTTAAGTCATAATTGGTACTCTGTACCAGTTAGAATGCATTTTGAATAAAGTATATATATATATATATATACTATTTTTTTATTAATTATATAGCTATTTTATTTGCATTAATTTCAATATAAAATTATATTTTACTATTATAAAAATATAAAAAAATAAATACTTAATATTATAAAAAACTAATGGACGGATGTAAACTGAGTGAAAAAACGAACAATGATAACCTATGATATAAGTCATAAAATAATTAGTTAAATGAAATTGGGTACCTGCAGGGCAAGTCAACTCTAGTAAATGTAGGAAACTTTAACATGATTGATCATGGGTAGCTTTCGCATCCTTGCATTTTCAATTTTTTTTTTATAAGAATAAATGAAAAAAAAAATATCTTCTACAACGAGGGATTCAAGCCAATGAATATAATTAATTTAAAAAATCGATAATGACAAATAAGGATATGTCAGTTGATATTTTAAGTAGATTTTTTAGTTGAAAAAAAAGAAAAATTATAATTGTACCTCTATATTTTGTCCAAATTAATTACTTTTACCCTTGTATTTTTTAAAATACAATACAATGCCCTCATGTTTTCAATCTATTAAACAGTGTCCCATTCCATCCATTTTATGTACTTATAAATATTAAATTGCTATGAAATGACTCAATTAAAAGACAAAATCAATTTTTTTCCTGAAATCAATTTTGTATTTTGTCGGAATGTTGACAATGTTATTACTTGCGGTGGCCGAAAAATTAGATTATCTCAAAATCTTTCGACCTATCACTAAAATGATTAGAATCTTATAAAAACTCAATTTTTACATCAAATTTCCTTTTTGATTACCAATCAAATCTGATGTCAAGAAATTCTTAAGCTCCAAAACTCTTAAACCAAAACTTCACCAATCTTCCTTAACTAAAATTTGCTAAGAAAAATATATCATCTAACAAAACCACAACAAACTATTGATATTAATATATATTCTCAAATCTTATTACCGAATACCATCATCTCTTCTTCTTCTTTTCTTTGTTTAGAGAGATCAACTAGAGAGAGAAAGTTTTTGACTTGTTTGCTGAAAGAGAAAGAGGGTAAGAAGAAGATTGTATTTTGGTGAAAAAATTGTTTTCTCTCTCTAGAGAGATAGACTTCACCAATCTACTTTTTTTTAAGAGAAAAAATTTTTAAATCAAAACTTTTCTTTGTCTTATTCTTTGAAAATGCAAAAAATGGACGGAATGAATACTTGGTATAATGGACCTAAAACACGATGATAAAGTAGTGTATTTTAAAAAATACAAAGGTAGAATAATTAATTTCGACAAAATATTAGAGTATGATTATAATTTTTCCCTCTAAAAAAAAAGTAGATGTTTAACTGATAAATCAAACTAAACATTATCTTGTAACATTTTACTTGAAAATATGACTTGCATAAAAGTTAAACCAATTAGAGTCAACAATATTCAGATGTAGAATGAAAATTAAATCCAACCGATTCATTTTGGTTAATTTCTTTAGGATGCGGTTATTGATAAGTTTGAGTAGTGATAACCCTTTGGTTTTTTGTTCTAGTCCGATTTTGTACGTAGTTAAGTAACGAAATTAATTTTTTATGTCTAAAATAGGTGATTTTATCGAGACTAATCTAATTAAAATCAAACCAACCCGATTTAGTAGTGAACCAATTTTTAAATTTTACGATGCTAGTTCGGCTACTATCAAGACATGTCTGGTCAAATTGAAACGAATTAATTTGGTTCGGTCAGATAAAATTGAATATTCACTCATAAAACTAAAGCATATGAAAATAGATTAATTCAGTTTGGTTGTGATATTAAAAAAAAAAATTGGAATACATATACATAGAAATACATAATACATTTGTATATTATTTTAATGCATTTATTAGTGTATAAAAAAATATATTATATTTTTTGAGAAAATATATCATTTTAGTGTATAAAAACATTTTTTGTATATATTAATATATTATATTTTTTTGAAATCTCGTTTGCTAAACGGGAAAATTCAATTCAAGAAATGCTCGGCGCCCCAACTGGAACAATACGATGCGCTGTCGTTTTGTTTGATAACTTTTTGCCGTTGTCCGTACGCTAACTGGCCATTCAAACGCGAAAGTTTCAATTTCAAAATGTGCGCCTCTCTCTATACATATCTCTCTGTCCAATTCCTAGTAATAACCCTACCCCGCGTCGAAATCACGCTTAAAAAATCCGAAACATCTACCGCTTCTCTCTCTATATAAAACACCGTCAATTTTTTTTCTCTCTCTCTCCATCTCTACAATTCGAATCCGGATCCACCGCCTTCGATCCAAGCTCCAAACCCTATTCCTCTCTCTCTGTAGATTTTCTTCTCTATCAAACAGTAGTTTCCCTCTCATTTCTTTCTACGCAAAAAATGAGGAAGGGAGCTAAGAGAAAGAGGGTTCAAAAAGACAAAGAAGAAGAACCTAAAGCATCTTCTTCTTCACAAGAGAATCACAAGCACGAATCTACCAAAGCTCCTACTCGAGCTAAGCGGGTCAATGCATCCAAACCCCAATCCGAACCCGAATACTTCGAAGATAAGCGGAACTTGGTACAATTTATAATCTTCCACTTGCATTCTTGTTTTATGTTTTTGTTTTGAGTATTTATCTAATTTCCTTAGGTTTTTTTTTTTGTGCATTTTTAGTTGATTTAGTTTCAAGGCCAATCTATGCAGAGAATGCAAAATGGGGACAGATAGATGAAGATTTTATTTGTTATATGTAGTTTCTGTTTGGTCGATAAAATCGTAGTAGAATCCTTAAGCTGCTAGATGTTGCAGTTGTTCAAGTTGCGTTCTAAGTTAGCTGAATTTAAAATTATTGTATTATTGCGCTGTACAGCTTTTAAGTAAGTCTTATTTGTAATTTGAATTTTGCTTCGATGTTTTAGTGAGCAATGGTGTGGTTAAGTATATTGTATAGTATTTGGACAAGTTGGAAAGTTTGTGTAGGATTTTGTGTGTGCTCTTTTTGTTTTTAAAGGTAATATAACTGGTTGCATTTGTGATGGAGAAATTAATTTTATGATATTATTTATGTTCTTAATAGAAATTGTCAAATTGTTTTTTGCAGGAAGATCTATGGAAGGCAGCGTTTCCTGTTGGGACAGAGGTTATATTGGAATTTCGATTTTTTCACTTTCCTTTATATGGATATTTTGTTCCTCTTCATTTTTATTCAATTTGCTACTTACACGGTACCATACTTTTGTTCAGTGGGATCAATTGGATTCTCTCTATCAGTTCAACTGGAATTTCTCCAACTTGGAAGTAAGTCATAAAATCATCTATGCTTTTTTTTTTTTTTTTTTTTTTTTTTTTCTCTTCATTTTTATTCAATTTGCTACTTACACGGTACCATACTTTTGTTCAGGATAATTGGATTCTCTCTATCAGTTAACTGGAATTTCTCCAACTTGGAAGTAAGTCATAAAAATTATTTGCTTTTTTTTTTTTTTTTTTTTTTCTTTTGGTTTTTTTTTTTTTTTTTTTTTTTTTCTTTGGTTTGACGTTCCCTCCACTCTTAGAAATTATGTAAATAATAGGTTTGGTTGGTTAATGCTGAAATTATTTTTGTCATTGGTCAGGATGCATTTGAAGAGGGTGGAGTTCTGCATGGAAAGAAAGTATACCTGTTTGGTTGTACAGAGCGTAAGTAACTTGCTAACTTTATGCAATTTTCTTGTCATAAAGCTTATGACAAATTCTGCCACATAGTCTTTTATTTACCCTGTAGATGTCAGAGTACTAGATGTTGCATATCTCTGCCTTAAATTGCTTCTGCACTCTCCCTCCAAACAAATCCACACATACCTTCCCAATTGCTCTTTCTTGTCCCTTTCTCATTGAATTCTTTTTTTTACTTATACTTTGCAGCTCAATTGGTGTCTTTAAAGGGTGAAGATAAAGTAGTTTGCATTCCTGCAGTAGTGGCTGTAAGTTCATTGAGTGGTTTCTTTTGATTTGCATTGACATTTCATAATTTTTTGTTGTTGATTTCATTTAATTTTGAATTTTCTGTTTTTTTTTTTCCAGGTTGTATCTCCATTCCCTCCTTCTGATAAGATTGGAATTAACTCAGTTCAGAGGGAGGCTGAAGAAATTGTACCCATGAAGCAAATGAAAATGGATTGGGTACCATACATTCCCCTGGAGAATAGGTTTCTTACCATACTCTTGATTTAATGGTATGTTTATCTATTTAACTTGGAACCTCTTTTCATATCTTTGTTAATCTTCTACAGAGATAGTCAGGTTGATAGACTGAAGTCTCAAATTTTTATTTTGAGCTGCACTCAAAGGAGGTACTGCTCTTCCCTGCCCCCTACTCTCTTTTTTTTTCTCATTTCTTTCTTCTTTTGTGGAACTTTTTAAATGTTGGATGTCAGGAGATTCCAAATCAGCTCCGATATTTTCTAAAATTGATAAAGTTTGTTTTCTTATAACATTGTTGGTATTTTGTAATTTAAGCTACATACAGGGACATTTAGTGGTGATTTCTTAGTTTTCATATAGTGGTGATTTCAAATGCTTAAGTTATTGTTTTGCATGAATAGTTTTAAGGTTTACATCAGCATGATGAATTTATTTCTTCGCCTCGTTGCCAATAAATCAAAATTCTCATAGTAAACTTCTTGTATCTGCAGCTATAATATCAGAACAGTTGGGAATAATTAAATTTTGCAATGTTAGGTTTTGCTTTATGATTGGAGGTCTGTGCTATAGATAGTACCATGAGTGGCTTTGTGAAAAATGCTTGGTGTTCCTATTAATGTGTGGGGAGGATTTCGCTTATGTTGTTTGAAGAGTAGTGAAGGACAATTTTGATGAAACTGTTAAAAGAATCCAGTTTTGTAACTTCAATTCATCAGGCATCACATTCTATGTTATATTAACTTCATATTTAGAAGTGAAGTTGCATCACAATTAAAAGAGAACTATTTTTTTAAAAATGTTGTTTATCCCATTAAATCATAAATGGGAAAGCAATATATGGACTTCCAATTATGCTAATCCTTGCAGCCCTTTTGTGTTTCATGAATGGTAAGATTTCAAAAAGTGTTGCAAAAAGTATTTCAAAATTTTTTTCCCGACTTATATTTTGTTTTGCATTGACTTTAACCTGATCATATAGCTGACCCTAACTAGTTTCAGACTAAGGCTTGGTGGTTGTTGTTGTTGAATGGAAAGATTTAAACCGTGGTTGTAATCCACAATAATACCGTACTTTTCACTAATAAGATGTCATTGTTATCTCCTAAATAGGGTAAAAATAACACAAGAATTAATGTATCAAAACTTATAGCTAGTTGAGAATGATTATTAAATTTCCTATCGCAATATAACTATCACCTTATTGCTAAATGGAGGATAGCTAGTTTGTGGCTTGTTTATCTGTTAGCAGTTTCATTTGTAGTATTTGCCTCACCAGTCACCACAATGTTGTTTACCATTTTCTATTTGAGCTATGTTGTTCACGAAAAACACTGGGGCATTATTTTTCTGTTGCATGATTTTCTTTTCTCATTTTCTTGTTATTTTATTTCAATAAAAACTGTTTTCCATTTTTTAGATAATTTGGTGTTGAATATGCAACACAGAACGTGTAGTATGTGTACCTTATAGCCGTGATTTATGGTTCAGAACGAGTTGTTGAGAAAGCTCTTTGGCACTGATAACATGATGTGCATTTGGAAGTGCTCATACCTATTAAAGGCACGCCTCAGGCCTGCCTTGCTTAAGGCTCAAGGGCTTGTGCCTCAACAGTCCTTAGGCAGGCGACTTCACTCAGGCTGTCGCCTCTAAGTAGAGGCGTGCGCCTAAGGCTCAAGAAAGGCGCACCTTTCTATTTTTTGTTTTCCTAAATATGTCACCTAGTGTTTTCTTTCAATTTAAAGCTGTCCAGCTATCATCTTCTTACATAGATAAATAAATAAAAGAAATAAAATGCAACAAAAAAACCAGTGATGTGCTTTGTGATCCAACCTCCACTCCTTCATCTAGCATGCACCTTCTGTAGTTTAGTTTTTACGCCATTCTGATATGCCTCTGTCAATTTCTTTTCCTTTATTTGCTTTCTATTTTTTATTCTGATTTATTTGTGTTTCTTTCCATGTTTTTCTAATTTTCCCTTGTTTTTTTGATATCTTAAATATAATTTGTTTTAATTTTTTTTTTAAAATTTTTTAGCCTTCACTGGGATGCACACTTTCATCTAGAGGCTAGTGCCTAGGCTCCAGCAGCCCTTTGCACCTTGGTGTGTGTTGCGCTTTTAATTACAGTGGATGTGCTCCTTATTTGATTATCTGTCTGCACATGATTTTCTTGCAGGACCGCTTTGAGACATTTGAAGATAGACCGTATTAAGAAATATGAATACTGCCTGCCATGTGAGTTTAGAAGCAATTTTCACTTGTTTAGATAGCTGCATTTCATGTCAACTCCTTTGCATTAACTGCTGTCTTACAGAAAAATGAACATAAAAATTATCTGAACCAGGTATGGTTGTTATTAAGGGCAATGTTACATTCGTTTATGCTTAGGCTTCATCTGAGATTAAGTTAAGTCACTTTTCAAAAGTGCATCTATTTATTATTTATTTTTAAACTGATTTTGGGAAACCATTGTTAGGGTAAAGCTAAAAATCTAGATTTCATGGTTTGCTAAGCTCTAAATATTGGAAGGGCAATTGCAAAAAGCAACAAGCAAGTATTCGAGCATATGCTATTGCCTGAGCAAGTTATGCTGTATCAGGTTTATGACATGCTTTCTTTCTTTTTGACAGATTTCTATCACCCCTTTAAGCAGGATGAGCTTGAACAAAGTACTGAGGTCCAGATAATTTTTCCAGCAGAACCAAAGCCGGTATGCTAAATAGAACTGATGGGAACCAAAATGTTTGGATTTGGATCTGAATTTTTTGGGTAGCTTTCTTTTGACAGATATCCACTGCACAAATATCTAAATTGACATTTTAATTTCTTGGCACATGCAGGTTTTCTGTGAATTTGATTGGGAGTTAGATGAGCTTGAGGTACAAGATTGACTTTTTGATGTTTTGTATTAATTTAACCTGAAGGGATTCTATCGTGAAAGTTACTTTGTCAGGCTTTATGTCGTTCAACCATATAAAAAGTATTGAAGTGCAACTACGATTGTACTTCATGTCGTGGCAGGGTTGGTCTAAGCAGATGCCTGTATAGACGTTCATAATCCACCATTTAGTTTTATGGAATCTTTTTGCCATTGGATGATCTTTTCTCATCTTAGTAGGGAGATGTTGTATTTTTCTGCAAACTTGTTTTAAAATCTAACGTGAATTAGTTGAATTTGTGAATTTTGAAAAATTCAGGGTGAATATATTCTACCTTGCCAGTGCCCAATTATGTTAAAGCTGCTTTCTAACCATTTTCAACTTATCTTGAAGAGGAGAAATGACAAATAAAAGGAAAACAATTAAGTTGTGCTAAAATTTCCTATCAACCCGCAGGAGTTCACTGATAAGCTGATTGAGGAAGAGGAATTATCTGCAGATCAAAAGGATGCCTTCAAGGTGAATTTTATTTAATGTATTCAATTTTTTTGTAGGTTCTCTGATTTCACTAATATTGAACCCAATTCTTGTTCCCCACCTGTCAGGAGTTTGTCAAGGAGAAAGTTCGAGAAGCAAAGAAAGCTAACCGTGAGGTATTATGCAGTCCCACATATTGTGTTGTTTTCTTTTGTAAGACTGTTGGTAAGAGATATATGTAAGCCAGCTTTGAACTAATTTTCATTTTATGCAGGCAAGGGAATCCAGGAAAAAGACCTTGGAAGCAATGAGCGAGGAAACCAAAAAGGCCTATGAAAATATGAGGTTTTACAAGTTCTATCCTGTGCAAACACCAGATACACCTGACATATCAAATGTAAAGGTGAAATGTTGGAAATTACTCATTCATGTGCTTCATATTGCTAATTTTTTCATATGAAATAATTTTGTGCAAGAAATGCCTATTGCCGCCAATTTTTTTAGATTGAAATTCATTTAGTTTTTCTTCAACACTAGATTTTTGTGTGGTAATCATACATCAGAGATCCAGTCAAATGTGCATGGAATTAATTTGTCATTGCTATAATGCTAAGGAAAGGAGCGAGAAAAATGGGGGAAAGAAAAGCAGGGATCTATTTCAAGTCCCACATATCCTCCTGTTTCCTTCAATAACTGAAAGTGATCATCTTTCTTGATGAAATTTTACAGTTCTCTTTTTGTGCTTAATGTTTTTACTAATGACTTTGTTAGTGTATTACATTTCTTTTTATTAAAATGCCAACATTTCTCATGAATTCCATCATCTGCTTTAACCAAAGTCATTTAGGATTGGTGCATTATGTAATGGTAAACTGTGAAGAAAGGCATTTGCTTTTAGAATGTTAAGGAGATATATGAAGTATAGATATGAGCAAGCCATATATTGTGGTCGACATTTTTGATGTCTTAGATTCTTTTACCCTTAAATTTTGGTACTCTAGTTACCCTCCCTTTTATGGGATTTGTCTTGAATCTTCATTGGAAAATGTGCATGTTTGCTTTATGTTACCCTTGTTCACAGTCAATTCTCTAAACTTGGGTTGACAATCTATTAGGGGTTGTTGCAAAGATAGCAAGGTGGACAAAAGAAATACAAGAGTGTAGTATTTTCCTAGTATGTTTAGCCTTCATTTTAGAATTACTTAGTGTTATCGGACTTCGTAAGCAAAGAATTCATAAATAAATCTGGGTAGAATGCCTACTTGCACATTTTCTATACAAGTACTTTTAGAAAGTTATTCCATATGTTAATAGGTATGTTGGCTTTGCAGGCTCCATTCATAAACAGGTACTACGGGAAGGCTCATGAGGTTCTATGACTTGACTCACGGAGGACAGTATTGACCAAGAGATTCCTCAGGCTTTGCTTTGGCTGTCGGATTTGAAGATTTTTTTCACCCATGAGGAAGTTGGAAGGCGTGCCTCTGGTGCCCCGCGGTTTTTCTTTTGTCAAAGTTTAGGTATCTTAGTAGAAAGATGTATACTCGTAGTAGTTGGAGAATTTTTAGGTAAGCAGTTGAGTCCCTCATTACAATAGGGAGGCATTTGTAAGATGCATTGTTTAAGTCTTAAATTTTCAGTGTCTTGTTGAGTCGCAGGTAGTGAAATTTCCCTGTCACTCAAGTTTGTCTTAGTTACTTAGGTATCTCTTGAAAATCTCTGTTCTAATACCATGTCATTAGATTTTTGTATGACCAAAAGTAATATTTAAGAAACAAAATGAATAATTGATTAGTTGAATATTTTAGATTTATGTTCTCTTCACGTTCATAGTTACCATGTTTCGAACCGTGCTTTTTCTCGGTTGAAGTAAATCTTTATTTTCTTAAGGGAAAGTTTGTGAGGGTTTGATATTGATAAATTTCATGATGTTCGAGGAACAAATTAGTAAGAAATTAAATAAAATATTCAGTTAAATTATGTCATTAATCTTTGTGCAAATTCTGTTTTCTCTGTATAAAGGGAATAAAATGTCCACCTGTTAATGGTTACTATTAGTCACTATCACTGCCCGTCATCCTTGACTGCTAAGATTTATCCTTTTTATGATTCTTTTTTCATATTTGATAATAAATAAAGATTTTTATAATCTTATTATCGAAAAAATTTTAGAATAATTTTTAATGTTACAATCAAATAAAAATAAGAAAAAAGAAATGAGTTATCTGAAAAATATTTTTGGAAGACATTATTTTTAAGGAAACAAAGAAAGCTACATATTTTTTACATTTGTTTATTTTCAGTTTTACTTTGTCTGTAGAGTGAGAAGTTGGATTCAAGATCTCATTTAAAGATTTAGGGATAAAGCGGTAATTCATAGTTAGTTTTGTAGTAAAGCAACTAATCTTATTTGAGTTCAGTGAAAGCGTGATCTGAATGATAAGGACCGCAGGAAATTACCTGAAACTTCACTTATTAAAAATTGATTAATAAAAATATGACTATTAAGTAAAATATTTTCAATGATAGCTGCAGATTTATAAATCAATTGTTTTTGTGCTTTCCTTTCATTAAAACTAGTTGGTTACTATTCAAAAAAAAAAAAAAAAAAGAAAAAACAAATGTCTCTCTCTTATAGAGTATAAAATTATTTTTCTTTGAAATGACTATCAATAATTTGTTTTTGAATATCGGTATAAACAATTTTTTACACTAATTTTCAATATTTTAATCGATCAATAGAAAATAAATAGTGAAAAATATTTTTTAAAAATAAATCATAGCCTGAAATATAAACAGAGCCTTATATTTATTATCGCTTTGGACTTTGTGGAATGAATAGTGGAACTATTTGATGAATTTTTTATTATATAAATATAACGTGATGCTTATGGTAAATTTATAGATAATTAATTTATATAATTTATTCTTATTCAGAGTTGTTAAGAACACGTTGAATTTTCTATATCTGATAACAATATTTATCTATTACTTCAATAAAAAATTTAATATATTTTATTCAATAAATATATTTTCTATATTTGATTATAATATTTCTCTTACTTTTATAAAAAATTTAATATTTTTTTAATGATGTGACAAATTAAGGGGTGGGATTAACGTTCAAACCTGCAGAGTTGTCAATTATATATTAATTTTTCTATTTTTAATTGTAATATTTATTTTTTTATTACATTTTAAAGAAATTTTTTGGAAACAACGTGCTAAAGAGTTCTGGTTGCGGGAAGGTGATGCTAATACCCGTTTCTTTCATCGAAGAGCTTCAGCCCGTCAGCAACAGAATCGAATTTCTTCTTTGAGAGACGAATCTGGTAACTGCTTAATACCCCGTTTCTTTCATCGAAGAAGCTTCCACCCGTCAGCACAGAACTCGAATTTCTTCTTTAAGAAGCGAATCTGGTACGGTGGTCCATTTGAATTCGGCTTACGCACGCGGATCTCATGGTTGATTATCTTTACAAATATGTTTTGCTTCCCAAGAAATTGCAACCTCTACGTTGGTTTTCGACTCTTTACTCGCTCGCTCACTCACCGAAGGAGGCAAAATGAAGTTCTATGTTCAGCTCTTACTCAATTGAAGATCGCTTCCGGGCAGCAGTGTTGATATCGAAGGGACCAAAGCCCCGGGCTCTGACGGTCAATCCTGGCTTCTACCGCAAGGCTACTGGGGGACATTATAAGGTAATGATATTGCTCTATTGTATTGAGATATCTCAAGCACGGCTCACTCCTGATTATCTGAACTGTGACTGGTTTGGTTTTTGATTCCTAAGAAATCATCCCGCTGGAATCTATGACTGATTTGAGACCGGATGCCTCTTTGGCAATGTTCTTGTTTAAAGTCATTACTAAGATGCTCGCAATTATCGTCTCGCACTATCTTCCGCGTCTGATGTTCGGAAAGCAGAGTGCCTTTGTTGCGGGTAGGAATATTCCAGGATAATTGTAGTTTTTGAAGCTTTACATGCATTTCATAGGACGACTAGGGGTTCTAATTTTTCTGCAGCTGTCAAAATGGACATCAGTAAAGCATATGACAGAATGGAGTGGTCCTTTCATCGTCAAATGTTAACTAAGTTGGGTTTTCATGCTCTATGGATTAATCTTATAATGTCTACTCTAACTTCGGTTAAGTACTGGATTTTGCGGAATAACAGAGAGCTTGGACCCATTATCCCCACTCGGGGTTTGCGACAGGGTGACCCTCTATCCCCGTATTTATTCATCATCTGTGCTGAAGGCTTATCAAATATAATTCAGATGTCTATTCAGAATGACAATTTGAGTGGTTTTCGAGTTTGTCGGAGAGGACCGTTAATTTCTCATCTATTTTTTGCTGATGACAGTTTGGTGTTTTTGAAGGCTTCGGTTCAAGAATCACAATCTCTCAAACATATTTTGGCTATGTATTCTCTCAAACATACTTTTCGGCTACGTATCGAGCAGTGAATCGCGGCAACTAAATCAATTTAAATAAGTCTTCCATCTACTTTCAGCGCTAATACCCCTCGCACTTGGCCAGAAATCAAATATGTTCCCCTGACTTCAGGTACGGAAAAGGAATACTTTAGGCACTTACTTGGCGTTATGTCTAATCGGCCGTGCAATCGGAAGAGGTTTTTATTCACACCTTAAAGGACGCGAAATGTGGAAGCGTTAAACTCATGGGAGCTAAAGTCCCTCTCCCGTGCCGGGAAGAGAAATTTTGTTAAAAACGGTTCTTCTGCTTACCATAATTACCTTATGAGTTCCTTTCTTGTTACCGCCAAGGGACATTTATGGCACGAACTGGAAGCGTATCTGAATCGGTTTTTGGTGGGTGCCAGTAGGGACGGACGTCAGCTCCTCATTAGCGTGGATCCTGTGTGTGTGCCCCTCCGCAGTCATACGCCGGGCGTCCGCGCGCGTTAAATGCCTGCACCGCACGAACCGGCATACAGTCGCCCGCCCGCCGGATGATGGGCTCCTCTCAGAATTCTGGACTAACGCAATCCGCCCACAAACCGACGAAGAACCAAACACGTGAGATGTCCGCCCAAGACAAATGGGATAAACAACAGATAGAGGAAACCAGGACCCAGTGGGCGAAAGCATAACTTGAATGAGTGGGCGTTGGGAAACGATTCCCGAGTGAGCAGATTCGGCAGGAGCGAACAGACAAGTCAAAAATGAAGCGAGTTGTCGAAAGAGATAATGGCATTGAGTCAGGAAGTTGCGGGAAGAGAAATTTTGTTAAAAACGGTTCTTCATGCTTTACCTAATTACCTTATGAGTCTTTTCTTGTTACCCAAGACTTTATGTACGGAACTGGAACGTATCATGAATCGGTTTTTGTGGGGCAGCGGGCGGAACTACTCTCAGGGTATTCACTGGCTTGCTTGGAACAAAATGGCCATCCCGAAGGTGTTCGGAGGGCTAGGATTTCGGAAAATTCATGAATTTAACATAGCTCTTCTAGGTAAACAGGGCTGGAAACTCATGGTAAACCCAGATTCATTGGCTGCACGTGTTTTGAAAGCAAAGTATTTTCCGACTTGTAGTTTTCTGGAAGCTAATCTAGGCTCCAATCCGAGCTAATCCGACTAGGCTCCAATCCGAGCTATGTTTGGCGAAGCATTTGGGGGTCTAAGAGTTTGATTCAAAGGGGATTATATTTGCGGGTTGGTAGTGGTTCCAACATATCTATTTGGGATTCTCCTTGGTTGCCTGTCGAAGAGTGTTCTTTTATCTCCACTCCTCGACCACACAATAGTAATATTTTCCTGGTTTCAGATCTTATTGTACAACGAAGATGGGATGTTGAGCGGCTTCGACGATTATTCAATGCAAGAGATGTTGCTTGTATCCTCTCTATTCCTTTAAGTAATCACATGGGAGATGACCGGGTTTGCTGGAAATTTGACACAAAAGGTACATACACAGTCAAGAGTGCTTACAGCAGTCAAGAGTGCTTACAGATTACTCCTACAATATCCTCTTGCGTCACAATTTATGTCTACTATAAGTTGGACTTCAGGCTGTGGAAGATGAAAGATCCACCCAAAGTTACAAATTTCATTTGGCTGCAGTATGTAGTTCTACCTTGGTAGGAGGAAAATTTAATTTATGCTCTCGGAAGGTGGACATTCAAGATATTTGCCCTCTATGTCTTGGAGATTCTGAAACTATTCTTCATATTCTTGTCAACTGCCCTTTTTCAAGACAGGTTTGGACTCTTTCCCATCTTGGATTTCGGTGGTCTTCGGCTATATCTTTTGGGGAGTGGTTTCAGCAAGCCTCCAACTCCTTGACTTTGGAGAATTTGAGTTATGTTTCTATGGTGTGTTGGGCATTATGGACAACTAGAAATGATATGGTATGGCGTCAAAAAAGCAGGAATCCAGGGGCAGTAATTTCACTAGCTTCGGGTGTTTGGCACGCATGGAAGGAAGCTAAGCTTCATGGTTTGGTAGTTCCTTCTCCAGCAAACTCAAATCGTACATGGAGTCCACCCCCGTTTAACTGGTTAAAAGTGAAAACTGGTAAAAGTGAACACGGATCTTCAACTGGAGTGGCTTCTTGGTTATGTGGGTATTGGCATAGTATTAGGAATTTCAACCTCTGAACAGTTATTGCTGGCAAAGCGTGGAGATTTCCCCGGGTTTTTTTACTGCTAAGGTGGCTGAGGCCAATAGCCCGCTGAGAGAAAGGGCTTTTGAGCTGGATCAGAGGATCACGGATGAATTGATATTTTTATTGGAAACCGATTCTCAGTCAGTTGCAAATGCCTATCAACGATGATAAATACAAATGACTCATCTCTTTTGGTTTGAACTAATTCAGGGACTGGCTAAATCTCTTTTGTCCTGCAGATACCAGTCGTAAAATGTAATTTTTGTTTTGATAGGTCGGCGAATGTAGCTGCACTACGTTAGCAGTGCGAAACACATTCCAAAGAAAGCAGGCTTGGGGGTTTGGAATCTGTTACACTCTATTCTACTTGACTTTAATTGCATTTCGTAATAAAATTTTCACCATTTAACTTCAAAAAAAAAAAAAAAAAACAATAGTAATGCCTCCATAAAAAAAAAAAAAAAAAACAATAGTAATAGCCTCAATTTTTTATAATTTTACACTATCTAATTCCTATTAAGTAATGATCCCTAAGGGCTTTTTTGACATTTTACAATTTTTTTGCAAAAAACTAACTACTAGACCTTATAGTTTAACAAAATCGTAATATAGGGACTAAGTAATATAATTTTAAAAATTGAAGTCTGTGATATTGTATTTGACCAAAAACCTAGAGATTATATAGTAATTATTCCTTTCTATTTGATTGCCTCTACTTGTATAAAAAATATAATATTTTTCAACGAGGTTACAAATTAAAGGGGGTTGGGACGAGGATGAATTTCAAACTTACAGAGTTGTTAAGTGCATAATGATTTTTTTATATTTAGTTGGAACGGTATATATGTTGTTTTTATAAAATTAATACTTTTCAAACTACAAGTTGATTTTCTATATTTGATTGGTAATATTTATCTATTACTTTTCTTAAGAAATTTAATATCCTTAAAAAAGGTTACAAATTATGATTAAAAAAAAAAAAAAAAAAAAAAAAAAAAAAAAAAAAAAAAGAAAAGAAAAAAAAGAAAAAAAAAAAAAGACGGATTACAAATTAAAGAAGGTGTGAAGATGAATTCAATTCCTGACGATCCTTGCTGTTATGTTCATACTATAGCAAATTAAAATATATGGAAGCACGAAAAAGGTCTTTTTTTTGGCTAGTTGTTAAAACCACTGGAAAGTTCTCTTTTTTTTTTTTTGTTTTTTTTTTTTTTTTTTATAGTAAATTAGACATAAGTAGAGAATTACACATTAAATGCTGGACTTTATGTTCATGATTATATATTAAAATTTATATAATTTTTGATTTTCTTTTAAATTTATATGGGTTACATGCCAAATAGAGTTTGAACATAGTATTTGGATTCTTTTAAGTTAGGAAAGACCAATCTCATAATTTATGACATTATTAAAGAACTAATATTTAAACTTACATATTCAAATAAAAATCTTAAAAGTTAATATTTTATAATTGACATTAAAAGTTTGAATATTTAAACTTAATTACAATCCTAGTTGAATTAACATATAACTAACAGCTCGTTTGCAACGAATGGATCATAGTTCTAAAATTCATTTGTAAATGAATTTATTATGCTTGGTATGCTACAATTGAAAATAAAGAATTCAATTGAATTCCATAGAATATGTTTAGAATAAATTCTTAAATGAATATTCATTTGTCTTTATTTCTTATAATAACCCTTGACATACTAATTTAACAAAAATAAATAACAAACATCAATTATATTTATTATGTACAATATAATAACTTATCATATTTTTATTAAAATATAAATAATAAATTTCATATAAATAAGTACACTAATATTAAAATGTTAATTAATTAATTATATAAGCAGTAACATTCATCAAATAATTATTTTTAATTGATATAAAAAATTTTGTTGATTAAAGTAATTAATTTGGAAACTAAAAAAAATATTAAGAATGTTACTATCATTTTTAATTGCATTCAAAAGCAATCGTTGATGATCAGTTTTATAGTTTCATAATAATAATAATAATAATAATAATAACTAACGTTATCACTGGATTAAAAAAAAAAAAAAATTAATCACCTGACTTTAACCAAAAAAAAAAAGTCATTACTAAGTTTGAAATTTTTTCAAGAAAAAAAAGGAAAAAAAAATATAAATATAATTAACTTCAATTGTTTTGGGACTTTAAAAAAAAAAAAACATTATATAGTTTAGAAATTTTTCAAAGAAATAAACAAAAAAGAAAATAAAAAAAAAAAAAAAGTCATTACTAGTTTGAAATTTTTCAAGAAAAAAAAGGAAAAAAAAATATAAATATAAATTAACTTCATTGTTGGATTTAAAAAAAAAAACATTATTATAGTTTAGAATTTTTCAAAGAAAATAAACAAAAAAGAAAAAAAAATATTTGAGTTTATAGCAAAGAGTAATTTTACCAATAAATATTTTAATGGTCAATTTTGTGGATTTCATTTACAAATTTTATTAATTTTAGTAAAATTTGAATTAGATATATCCAGTTCTATAGAATTGAATTCACAAAATTCAAATAAAAAAGAACCATATTTCAATATTAGAATTTAATAAAAGAAGAGATATTATCAAAAATTCAAGAATTAATATTTAAATTCAATTAGAAATCATTTTATTTAAATTTAAATCTATTATGAAGAAATGTTAAATCGAGGATGAATAATAAAGCATGCTATATTCTCAAATAAGCTACTGTCGTAGGAGATCCTACCCAATCAAAATCCTGCAAACTTGACTTTAACACACAGGATTTTGTAGATCAAACTAATGCATAACCCAACCAAACCGCAACCTGAGATGAACCATTCCAAAACCACCCAAAAGATGACTCAAACTCGAAATGACCCAAATCCAAAGTGACTTGACTCAAACCCATCAAGTGCCACCTTCAAATATAAATATTAAAAAGTTAATCATTGTCTGAAACAAGTCCCCAACTCACTAGAGAGCTAGTTCTTCCAAGGGATACAGAATAATAAGGCAACTTGGCAAGGCCCTTCTCATTTCATCTAAAAAACATTGTACAGAAGCATTGGTTGAGAAATTACATGATACTTGATACCTCAATGTGATAATTAACAATACAACACAAAACAAAAAGACTCCAAAATTGGAATCTGAGTAAATGGAAAGAACTCAGAAAACATGCTTCCTGCATAATTATCTATGGCCACACTGGACAGGATAAGTTAAATACAAAATATTGATAAACTTACCCAGCTGTAGCAACAATGGAGCTTTTTGGCTTAAAAAATCTTCGCTCAATTATCTGTGACGAATAAATAATCTGTCGCAAGCAGCAAGAAATGATTTTTCCATTCACCAGGACCAGCAAAAGGCAATAGACCGCAGCATAACGGAAGAAACAAGAGCACAATGGAATAAAAAAGCATTCGCCGGAACCAGTATGGACACATTGTGCTGGATTTCATCCCTTGAGAGACCGTGAGAGGCCCATGAAGTACACAAAACAATATTGAGGTACAAACATTTGAGAAGAAGTGCAGCAAGCACATAGTTTCCCAATATATCAGCCACATCAATCCACTTCCTCCCAAAGTATCAACACAAAATTTGCCAGCAAAACCACAGGCAGTGCCTAACAGTAACAGTATGAAAGTTACTGGCATTATTTGACGTGAAGCTGATGAACGTTGAAGCAGCAAATAAGCAACGACAAGGATTATTAAGATGCCAAATAGCATTCGGCTCATGACCTGTACATGACACCTGAGAGTGTGCAGCCCTGAGTTGACAGATGAAAATGGCTTTGGGATCCACCAAGATTTGGACTCCTGAATCAGATTAGAGAAACAAATTTTATAAGCATTTCATATAACTGAAAAAAAAAAAAGCTAGACAAATATAGCAAGGAAAATTCAAAGGTGTGACATGACAATTTTTTGACATCTCTAATTACATAAGGAGTTAAAACCAATACCAATATTAAAAAGAAAGAGAATTTCCATCCTGCTGTAGATTTAGATTATATCTGTATGGAATTTATTTTCAAGTAACAAAAGAGAAAACTAGTTTGGAACAAGGGCTTGGTTGTTATTGTTGTCGTTGTAAAAGAGAGAACTTAATAAAATCATACATCAAGGTAAAATTCAAGGCGCCCCGTCAGAGGCATGTGGCAGTGCCTTCCCAGATGAAAAGAAATACCAAAATTCCCTAGAAATCCAATTCGGTATTTATTGCACATTTGTAGTAAGACTATAAAGTAAGTCAGTAGTAGTCCATCTTCAACTTTACCACTAAAGGTCCAGGGACATTATAATGTCCTCATAACATTTTCTCTATAGAACCTCTGTAATTTCGGAGAAAATAGTCTTATAAAGAACATATAGAATCTAAATCACTAGACCACAATACTGGTGGTCCTTACCTCAACTGAAGGACTGCAGGATGCAGTAGCGTCAGTAATCCTTTGGTATGAAAACACGTAGGCACCATACAAAAGGCAGGCAGACATGATGAACAAACCAGCAACAAGACAGTCTATGCAATTCTTAAGCAGATCAGCATGCCTTGTGTCTTCTAATTGATTCTTGAACTTTTCAGCTTTAAAGGATTGCCTTGATATGCCCATTGCTAGTTTTGTTCTCTCAAGATGATTTGAATCAACACTAAGAGCCAGCTGGGCCTCCTTCAACTTCAATTTTCTCATTGTAAGACCAATCTCTAAAGCCTTCAGGTCATTAGAACGAGTAGTTTGCTCCATGAGAGATTTCTCAATACTACTGAGTTGATTGATTACTGGACCGAGTGAGCTTGGTACAGAAACCTGCCAGTTTAATTGCCCATGCGGGGCAAGTTCTTGACTCGAACAAGGCATGCTTTCTTCTACTACTTCAGCTATCTGCGTTTGGTTCTTAACTGAACTGGAGGGCAATTCAGTTTCTGATTGACAATCTTTGATGTCAGAGCTACTTGCACAACTAACTCTAGCGTTGAGATTCATGTATGAATCAGAGTTTTCTACGTTTACGTGGCTTAAGTGATATGCTTTCTTATTGATGGAAGCTTCATTAATCAATCGAAGAGTCCTCAATGTGCTTCCAAATGATTTCTCAAAGCTCATTGCAAAAAAATAAAATTCATCACCAAAGACCTGTTGAAACATAGGCAATAAGAAACATAGCCATTTATATCATATTAGCATTCTAAGTCTGTTTGATTTTGATAAGAACTTATGAAGAAGCTTAACTTGAAAAACCAGAGTCCATGGATAAGTCAGCAGTTAAAGCAGGGCTTACATTGGCTAAAGATTCTCTGACAGCTGAAGCACAGATCTGCAAATGCAGATACAAATAATGTTATTGTTAATGCTCATTATTTCTAACTTGCTCAAAATTAAATCCAATTTTCATATTCAAACAAAATACGAAACTGACCAATTCTCACAATATACATACAATATTTCAAATTTGCTTAAGATGAAATCCAATTTTCCGTGCTGATTGATTTCAATACCTGATATCAATGTCTTTCTGAGAACAAAAAGAGAGAAAATCCATTGGATTGTCCAATAGTGAAATATTTTTTTCCCATATTCCAAGTGAAGAAATATGAATAGATAAAAAAACCCATGGTAACAATTGCATAAGTCCATTTGAAAGAGAACATATAGAAATCCAACTTAATCTGGTAAGAGGATTAAAAAATATGTACCTTTGAAAGATGATCAACAGCAATCTCCATGCCTGCCGTATCTTTCCTCTCCAGGACCTAGATTCAGAAAGCAACCATGCACAATATCAACCAATGGAATAAATGGCAATCCAAAGGACGCACAACACATATACATACACTTTTAGAAGTCAACATAAAAATATAAAATTGTTTCTGAAGGATTCCTAAGAAGCTAAAATGGTCACAGTGTTACAAATCTAATTATTGTGTAGAGGAAATTTTTGAGCATTATTCCTAGCCAGGATTTCATATTTAAATGTATAAATAGAAAGACATATGTCGGCATATATTTCATTTTTTAGTCAAATAAAATGATGCATTCATGAAAAACATGAAACATTATGTAAAAGAATATTTATTTGTCAGGAAAAATAAAAATTTAATGCACCTGCCTCTATGTGACTTCAACTAAAAGCATGCAATTACATATTATTCAATGAGAATATGCAACAAAATTTCTATGTTAGGCATAGAATTAAGGGATTGCTTCAAATATTAGTACACGGTAATTTATATCTATGTCTTCACAACTATTACATATTTTTAATAACTAAATGTTTATTCATGCATTTCACTTCCAAGAGCTTCAGGATCATCACTCACCACACATTAGTTGCCATGATACCAACTAAATGTGGCAGTAGTTAATCGCCAAATTAATTAGACAATATTTATAAGCTAATTACCAATTTTTGTAGTCTCTCTTCGAATTTGCAGTTCCATTTTAACTACCACATAAACGTCAAGAACACATAAAGAACATACAATGAGACAAACACTCGTTAGCATTTAAAACTTAGTTGAAAATATATCCACACCACATCCAAATTTCAAAATATTTAATCGATAAAATACACATACAAGGAAGAAGCATAAACAATGCCTCGTCCAAAAACAGAACTTTGACTAAACAATTAGCAAGAATCAATTTTGAACCAAACACAACAATTAATACAAAAAATCTTTGTCTCAAGCAAATAAAAAAGAAACATGTAAACATGGCAACAAAATTCTAGTTACAGGCAACATAAAAAAATCCAAACTTTGCCCAGAAAAAAAAAAAAAAAAAGCAACTAAGAACTTTAAAAGCGCAATATAATTTGCTTATATTATACCAAAAATTGAAACTTTCAACGAACCTGGGCAACAATAGCAGCAAAAGACATTCCGAGAGGGAGAGCAGCGGCCTCCATATCGCTATTCCCGAAGCGGCCACCACGCCTAACCGGAGCTATCAACACCTTAGGGTTTCTGCGTTTATAAGTCATGCTAGTACTTCTCCGTGTAGAAGGAGAAGAAGATGATGAGGATATCATAGAAACGCCTTCATAAGCTTTCTTCTTCTTCTTCTTCTTCTTGCGATGGGTCATATTTAGGCTATCGTCCTCAAGAGGTTTCGAGATTGCCGGAGGAGACTCATCCTCCGGAATCGAATCGGCAGTGGTATTGGATTCTTGAATTGGCGGCGAAGCAGAAGGAGAAGGGGTGCCCATAGAATATAGGAGAGGAAAGGGAGGAGAACCTGATTTTGAAAATCAAATGATAGATACAGAGGAGTTGATGAGCAATCTGGTGGGTTGGTTTCCTGACTGCAACGGAAACAAAGCGTCAACACCCAACAGACAACGGTCGTAGGTAATTATTAATATCTATTTATTTATTTATATTATAATAATTTACATAATATTTATTAAATTTGAGAAAAAAATAATTTGTTCCGTAATATTTCGCGTGATTTCAGGATAAAACTACGGCCAAAAAATTCAAACTGTCTATATGAATGCAGAATCTTCTTTTCACCGTTAAATTTGAAATACTTAAATTTAAATGTTAAATTCAAACTTTACTAAATAACTTATTCCCTATAAAGTAGCTTACAAAATAAGCTATTTAATGTAATTTTTTTAATTTGAATAAAAAATACTCTTTTTAACATAATTATAAAAATAAAAATAAATAATTATCTAATGATTAAATTTATTGACTCAAAATAAATTGTTTACCATCTTAATAAATAATAATTTACTATTTCATTATTAAAATATTAATAATGAATTTATTTAAAAGAAAACATATTATATATATACGACATTTTATTATTTTTCTATACGTTTTTTTAATTAAGAAAATAAAATTACATAACTCAAATGCTTGATTTAATTTTTTTCTCCAATTTTATTTAATAATAAACTAATTTTTCTAATGTATATAATTAAATTTTATTTCATATATTTTTAATATGCCTAGTAAGGTCGCATCTATTTGATTTAAAAACATATATTAGTTATCAAGCAAAAGAAAATGTCATTACTATTAAGAAATTTATGAAGATCTTTCTTCTTTAAACTGATTTTTACAATTATTGCAGTCAAAATTTCATATATTTTATATACTATTGTTCTTTTTTACTTAATCTTTATTTAATTTATTTTTAACTCTAAATAAAGGAATATAAATAATAATTTATTACTTTTAATTTGTATTTTAATTAATTTTAGTTTTTTTATTATAAATTAATCTATATATTTTTTAAAAATCCATATTATATATTTATCCATGAAAATATTCATTTTAATTTTTATTTAATTTAAAATGTCCAATTACGCAAGTTTCTAGATTGTAAACTGTAAATTTAACTTGAAACCTTGTTCTTATGTTAAATTATTTATATAATTTTTATAAATAAAATATTACTTAATGTATATATAAAATTTTATAATTTTAGTGTTTATTAATTAAGAATTTAAATTGTATAAGAAGTCTATACAGTATCATAAACTTTAATTTAGGTGAATTGAAAACATAATTTTATAGTTAATTTATCTTTACAGTTTAAAAAAAAAAAAAGAAAAAAACAAAACAAAACAAATTCATTGTGACCTACTATAGAAGGTATATGTAACACATGTCATAAAAATAGACTCTATATCAATAGAGAATTCTTTGATTCGTAGTAGTAAAAGCGCGGTTTAAAGATGTAATAAATACTTTTTTCCATATTTACTTTTTATATATGACTAATAATTATTATTTCAATTTAATAGTTTTTTTAAAAAATTAGTATTAAATTAAAGATAATATAGTCAATTTACTCAATAATTTATTGTAGTTTAGACAAATTTAATGATTTTCTTAAACAACGTGATTTCAAATGTGGCAAATATTATGTAACTGAGGTATTAGTATTATTAAGGAATAAAGTTTAATTTGCCCCCAACTTCGGGGGCAATATTCAATCTGTTTAAACATTATTTGTTTTACAATTTTTCTCCTACATATGCACTAAAAAAAGTGAAAAATTCAATTTTAAAAAAATAACTTTTAATATTGTTATATAATAAAAATTATTTAAGAAGTTCAAAAAAATATTTAAAAATATAATAATAATTATAAAAAAATTATAGTGACTTATCATTGATTTAAAAAATTGCAGAATTAAAATATTTGGTTTAAATATTTATTATTTTTATTTAGTTATTTCTTAATTGTATTTCATCTCAATTAAATATTTGATTATTTTTTAATTAAAATTTGATTTAAATTAAATATTTATTTTCTTTTCAGTAAAATCAGACTTTTTATCCTTTTGGTGTAAGTTCAGGAGATAAATTATATGAAAAGTGATTTTTGGACAAATTGAATATTATTCCTAAGTTCATGGCCAAATTTAGCTTTATTTTATTATTATGATTTACAACAAGGTAATCAATTTAAAATTCCTCTGTCCCGATTAATAGCACTTTATATTCACAAGAATTAAGAAAAATTAGTTATTTCAGTTAGGAAAGTGAATTTGCATGTATTTTTCTTATTGCAACCTTACTTTAATATGAGATATATTTATTAATATATTATTAACTTTTCCATCTATCAAAATTAATTAATTATCTAAAGTTGATTAATATATACTGAAAATGGTTAAACTTAATAACTACTTATATTATCAAATTTCAAAGTGATTATAAATAAATAATGATATTGAAAAATAATAGGTAATTAATAAAAAAACAAGAAAATTATTTTTAACAAGTAACGTTAAATATGAGTAACGATAAATAAATAACACAATATAACTTTTAGCATCATTGAAATGAATATATAATGTTAGGTGTATTCGATGTTCTATTTATTGCCTTCAGTGGAACTAATAAACCAAACAGATAGTTCCATTTTTTAAGTTTTATGTAATTTTGGGACATGAGAGAGAAAGAGCTTCTAAGAGAAAATTCTGGTTTTATTGAGACTACGTGGATTTTAAAACATAAAAAATGTTGAGCTGGACATCCATGTCAATCTTCCGGCATCTCTTCACCAATAATTAGATAAAAGTGACTTTAGTGTTAAGAATTTTACCATTACAAATTGAATTCGGAAGATGAAAGTGTGACGGTGTCTATATTTCAGAAACAAACCTTGAATGAAATTAAGCCAAATTAAACTTAATCGCTAACTTTTTCAAACCTACCATTTTAGATATAGTTCGGGCAATTTAAACGGTTTTTAGTAGTTTACGAGCATCCCATGCATAGCTTGCATAAAATTTGAATAACAACAACATAGGAACGTGCAAGAAGTTTAGTACTATCCGTCACAACTTTTCTACTAGCAGAGGATTGTTATGGATGCTCCTCAAAGTGAACAAGTGTGGCCTTATGCAAGAAGTTTTAAGGTTAAAGTGCCTTGATCTACCTAAAAACAAACAAGGACGACGACAAAGGTATTTCTCTTGCAAGCCCAGATTTTATATGGGATGCTTATGTTTCTTCAGAATATCTGGAAATTGGATAAACATTTGAGAATATGACCCATGTATATCAGAATTAGGTTTTCTTCTAGATCAAACCCAAAATTTGTGACTGAAGTAGGGAAGGATTGAAGAATCATAGAGTATCCATGAAAATATGAGCCGCTTCCGTCAAACTCAATATTCACTTGAAATATTTTTATTATTTAAATATTTTCAAATTAAAATATTGGATTTTAGTGGGTAGTGGGTGTATTCACAACTTTAAACCTACACCCAGTCTCGTTTGAATCTATCTTTTCTTTTGCCCACGCCTTTATCCAAATCCACAGTGAATAATTAATTTAATATCTATATCCGTCCTAAACTCATTTAATCAACACCTAAACTTGCTCAATGCACCTGCCCTCACACCCTTTTTTAACAGGATATTATACTTGTCTAAATTTGATGTATGCACTCATCCATGGATCAAACCAATCAATACAAAAAAATTTTAAAAATTATTCTAGCTTTATCTTTTTTTTTTTCTTAATGAATAGTGAAAAATATCTTCTGTTTAAAAAAAAAAAAAATTCGTTAGTTTGACCCATGGATGGACTCAAAACAATTCAATGCTTTTTAATTGAGACTCGTTAAAAAAGGATGGTGTTATTTCTAGAGCACTAATCGTTAATGCTAGAGCAATAACATTTTATACAATATCACTTGACCAAATTGCCCCTTAATGAATTTATCTCCTCTCTTTCTTTTTTATCTCCACAGGAACATTAATTCATTTTTTTAAAAAGAAAAAAAATTAAAAGATATAACTAAACGATCTAAATAAATGAATGCTTTCAATTCAGTTGTTATACTTGGTTCTCACACAAAGTTCTTGCTATAGCGAATTTATCTGATAAAAAAATACGCAATTGACAAGTTAAAAATGGATTTATAGAAAAATTGCAGACTTCAATTGTTTTATAGAAGAGAGATGTTTCCCAAATATTAATCCAAATTTATTTATGAAAAGATAAAAAGAATAAGAAAAGACAAGGCCTGAACACATAACAAGTTTATAATTTGTTTTTCTCTTTTTTAATGAGAGCCTGGTATTTATAAAGAAAGGTTATGTTATTAGGAAATAAGAGAGAGCTTTGGACCAGAAAAAATGGTGTTGCTGTTGAGTGATGGTGATCAGAGCATTGAATTTATTTAGATTGTTTAGTTCTTTCTTTCTTTTTTATTCTTTTTAAAAACTGAATTTAATGTTCCTGTGGTGATAAAAAAAAAAAAAAGGAGGAAAAAAGAGATAAATTCATTAAGGGGCAATTTTGTTAAATGATATTGTATAAAATGTTATTGCTTTGGCGTAAACAATTAGTTCTCTGAAAATAATGGCACTCTTAAAAAAAAAAAAAAAACACTTTCAAATATCATTTTGGTGCAATTGGAAATATTATTATTGTTATTATTATTTTGTCTAAAATGAGAAAGTGGAGAACAAAGAAGGCGAGGTAAGCTGGTGTGTGCTGCGAAATTATTAATCCACCAACATAAATTGAAATAACGTTACACTTGGAAAATATTTAGTGAAATCGCATCTCTCAAATAAAAATATTTCATAGAAATTCTCTATTTTCACATATGCTCATATATAATTGATCAAAGGCAGGAAATGGACTTAAACATAAATATATTTTCATACATGGATATTTATATATATATGTATACATTAATTAATTAATATTTCTAATAGCTGCCATTCATATTGAAAATTACCTGCACCACCAAATTCTCTCCATACCCAACAAACCTTCAGTTATATCCATAGCCGCTTTTAGGAGTAATTACTTGCGCCCCAAGTGAATAAAATCCGCCATTAAAGGTCTGCAAGTCAACCTCAGTTGAAAAAGAACTATTTACTTTGTTAATTTCGTCATTAGTTGCAAGCGGAGATTGATCTTCTTGTCTAGCCATAGAATTTTTCTCTCCTTCAGTTTCTCTATATTTGTTGAGATAAATCTTTAACGGACCCACATAATTTTCAAACCCTAGTGTAGTCATAGCCCATAAAAGATCGTCGCCATTAATGGTCTTTCTTTTTTCTCTTTGACACTTATCGGAGGCTTCACCGGTGATGAAGCTTATGAACTCAGAAACACATTCTTGAACGGTTTCTTTAGCTTCTTTGGATATTTTTGCATTTGCAGGAAGTGATTTTTTCATGATACGGCTAACGTTGGCGATAGGGAGAAATCGGTCTTGCTCTTTGGAAGAGCTATCAGAGATATTCCCTGACAAGGGGCTTCCGATAGGGCTGGTTATTTGGTTTCTTTTTCCAGCCATAGTATTTAGATTCAAGAAAATGGAGGAGCAAGAAAGGAAGAAAGCAAGAAAGAAGGAAAAGTTTAGTGTATTTTTCTTTTTATTTTTTAGTTTCTTTTGTAAGTGCTTGTGTTGTGGAATCTAAAGAGATGAGAGCTTGGGCTTTTAAGCTAACAAAAGTGGGGTAAAAGAGACCAAAAATATAAAAAGTGGAAAGGCGGTATGATGTGGACAGAAAAAGAAAAGAAACGAAGCACTTACAACCATTCTGCAAAGAATGGTTTTTGAGAAATGTCGAATCTCACACCAAGTAAAATTTGCAAAAAGATCAATGAAGAGTTGTTGTTACTTCGTAGGCGGAGAGTGGTGACTTTTCTTTTAAAAGCTTCAAATGAAGTGCGGACACGTGGAATATGATAAAAGTGGGATTGATTTACAGTCAAGTTACCCAAATTTGAGAATGACTTGTCTTCACTTAGTATTTGATGTCCGGTACGGAGCCAAAATTGAAGATAAAGAGGGTAATTTTTTTTTTTTTTCAAAAGTTAGGAGTGACAAAATTAAAAAGTACATTAGTTTAAGGGATAATTATTGAAAATTTTTCAGAAATTTAAAGGGTAAACTTTAAAAAAAAAAAAAAAATTTGCTGAGGGGAGCGGAGCTATTCCTGACCCCTCCCTCAGTCAATGTACAAGCCACACATGCATCAAGTCAATCTTATAAAATTATTCAGTGCAAACAAAAGTGTTAATTAATAATTCACTTGAAAAAAAATGATAAACAGTTTTCAATTAATTTTTATTGAATAATGGAAAAGAGAATTTAAACTTGAATCTATTATTAAATCATATATATACTTAACCACTAGACTATTTTTCAATGTGCGAATAACAATTAATTATTGTTTAATAATTAGATGTGATCTAATTGGTTAGAGAATATGAAAAATAAGAGTATATATATAAGTGCATGCACACGCGCATGTCTTCATGCTAATATTGAGGTAGTATTTAGATAAAGCACTTCAATAATAATGATTTCAAATTTCAGAATTTGGTCTTTTAAATAAAGTTCATTTAGAGATGCAATTTATTTCTACTGATATTTCTAATTTATATTTAGTATCTTTCTCTGATCTTAATTTCAATTTCAATATATTTAAATATGTACATGACCCTCTTATTTTATAAAAATTGTTCTGATATAAAAATTTCTGCTGTATTTCTAAATAGAAATTCAGTATATGAGAGAATACTAATCCAAAAAATATATAAAGTTAATTAGTTTTGCTTTATTTTGTTGAAAATTAAATTTAGTAGAGTTAATGATAGATGGCAATCATTAGCTTCATCTTTTTTTTTTTTTTTTTTTTTAAGATGGCAATCATTAGCTCATCTTTTTTTTTTTTTTTTTTTTTGAATTAGTAAATGAATATAACTTTCAATTTTTTAAGCTATTAGAGTTTAAACCCTCACGTAAATGATGTACTTCCAACTCAATTTATTTATTATCTGTATACAGCGTTTTAAGTAGCTTTTAAGCGTTAATATTTTTGAGGTACATAGCATTTGAAAACTAATTTTTAAGAGGTTAAAGTAACATTTTTTTTTTTTTTTTTTTTTTGAATTAGTAAATGAATATAACTTTCAATTTTATTAGCTAATTAGAGTTTAACCTCACGTAAATGATGTACTTCAACTCAATTTATTATTATCTGTAACAGCGTTTTAAGTAGCTTTTAGCGTTATATTTTGAGGTAACATAGCATTTGAACTAATTTTTAGAGGTTAAAGTAACATTTTATGAAAAGTTAACACATGCAATGTTTAGCTTTTTAGCATTTTATAAAAAATTACTCAAACAGCTAAATGATCTAAAATAAGTAACAGATACCAAAACAATTAATTTTGCCGAACAGCTAAACACTCTAGAGTAGCTGATAGATATCAAAACAACTAATTTTACTGAAGAGATTATATATATACATATAGGGACAAATATACGTAATGAATAATGGTGGAATAAATCCGAGATATTGATCGGACATCCATGGAAACTGGCAATCTTTCCTTGTCCTTATGAAGATATTCGTATATTAAAGCTTTTTTCTTGACTTGGAATCAGAGTTGGATAACTAATATCAACCTTCAATTCATAAAATATCACATGGGTATCTTTCCTTGGCTTAAATAAAGCATGCAATAGTTGAGTGGCTCTAGCACATATGCTTCACTTTCCTCTCCTTTTTGCTTATTTATGTCTTTCTAGATTCTCTTTATCACATCCCATATATATATATATATATCCCCACACCTTCTCTTGCCTCAATCAGTCGTTTTTTCTAATCTCTGTTAAAGATGTAATAAATTCGACGATAAAATTTTTTATCATTTTGATGAGTCAAATGGAGAGCGAGTCTTGCTGTATAACTAATCATATCATTTCGGTACATTGCATTTTTCAATAAATATATTAATTGACAGAAGTAGAAAAATTTATGAGTGAGAGAATTTGATAAATGATAATGTGCTCAAATAAATATATTATTTGAAACTAAATAAATATCTTTATAGTATTTCTGGTTATTTTAAGTAAGGAATAATGAAATAAATGCCGAGAGCGAGAATGTGGAGACTTAATACTGAGCGAGAATTTAGGGCATTAATTACATAATAAAAAGACCTTTTGACCAAGAGTTACTTATTTCAATTCTACTTAATCAATGCTTGGTTGATTCTTAACAAACCTATTATATATAATTAATTATTAAATTTTATATTTAAATAATATAAAAGGTATAGTTATTGTTAATGTATTTGACTATTCTAATAAAATTTTAAGTTTAATATCTTTCATATAAGAATTAAAACTCATGTCAATGCTTAAAAAAAAAAAATCATTTCTATATGAACTATAGTTATATATATATATATGTATGAAATCTTTCTTTCATGATTTGCTGGCCAACTTGTGCAGCTCATCAATCAAATCTGCAAATTTCAACTTTTTAAAATGCATTGCATGTAGAAGTAAACCCATTTAATTAGTTCAAACATCTAAAAATAAAATAATAACAAATTCTTAAATCCATTTAACCTAAAAATGACAAGTGGCTACTTTAGAAGCAACTTCTCTTGCCATTTCCACCACACCAACATATAAAAATTCTTTGGACTGTCTCCAACTTGCTGTCTTCTCAATAAATTAAAAGGTAAAGTTTGGAGATTAATAAAGTATCATTCAATTGTTTAAGGGCTAATCCTTATATTAAAAAATTTATATATATATTATTAAAAAAATTAGGGTTTGACATAAATGGAAGCTTCTAGGTCAATCTTGGACCTAGATTAATTATATATGTTAAAACCCAAATATGTTGTTAGGGAAAGCTAAAACCTGTCAGAATATTGGTGAACGAAAGCATCCAAAGGAAAGATACTTTTCACCTAAGACAATTTTAGATTCTCATCAATGCCTTGTTGGTGACATGGTGGGTGGGATCAATTCTTCTTTTTTTTTTAATTTATTATTCTATTTATAATTGTATTGCAAAAATAAAAATTGAAGCTTGAAGTTCTAAATTTGGACAGTTATGTTTATAATAGTGAACTAGAAAAAATTGAGCTCCTACTCTTGAAAATTCGAATTAGAAAAAAGAAAATTCAACAAAAATCAGAAAGAGATATTTTTAAATTATATTTGTTATTAATAGAATATATTACTTTAAATTAAATAATTCATTGTATTTCTTTGCAGTGATGAAATTATGAGCCTTTACTATTTATGACTCATAATGTTATGGTAATCGAAGAAGGAAATCAATGGTTAATAAATGATATTGATTATAGTTAGCAGGCAGATTTTTTTTTGGTGTTGCCATATAGGATTCCAAATTAATAAAATGTGTAATGACTTAATTGTTTATCTTTATATTTACTTAAAAATAAATTAATTTATAATTGTTTATTGATTAGATTAAACCGTCTTAAATGTAACATCAAATTAATGAATTTTACCACCTTTCATTTTACTTCTTTTTTTTTTATTTATCTTTACAAATTTCAACATTTTTAATCCATACTCTTGAACGCATATCTATCTACTAATTTTTACTAATTAATTTTGACTTTTATTTTTAATAAAATAACATTTATTTTTAAAATATTTTGATGTAGAAAGAATTGTTGTTTCAATTTTAATCCACATGCTATATTTTAAAATATTTTTAGTTTATTTCTATTTTATTAACTTTATTTTAAACAAAGATTTTATTTTCATTTTTTTAATTTCTTCAAAATTTTTCAGTTTTTACTGTTTTATTTTCAAATTTTATATTCCTATTTGATGATTGTAGATCTTAGTCATATAACAAAGCGTTGTAATTTGAAGTGTTAATGATATTAAGAGATGAATGGAAAAATGAAAAAAAAAAAGTATATGAAACACAAAATATATTCTTTTTATTTTATTTTATTTTTTAGAATAGAAGGTGTTCCTTCACCTCTTTTATATTAACAAATTCCCATCAAGTTGTAAAGCATAAAATTTTTCGATACCTCCTATTATACGTGTTTTCTAAAAATAGAATTTATGTTTTCACAAAATAGAATTTATATTTTCATCTTTACATCGAAACAATTCGTGAGATTTATCCGGCTCTAACTCTATTTCAGAATATTTTTATAAACAGTAATTGTTTTTTTTACCATTTTAGTGTATGTAAAATAAAACGATGGCGGCAATGTTGAAGTCATACGAAAGTCGTATTTTGTCTGTTAAGTCCAAAAGCGTGTGAAGATGTGGAGATTTTGTCTCAACTTCCACAGTTATGAAGTTCCAATTTTTAAAATGATTTTATTTTGGCATGCAGGATAAGAGAAAGAGATGAAAATAGAGATAAATATTTTTTAACTTAATATATGCATTTTGGTGTTTTTATTAAAAATTAACAGGAAAAATGTTTTTTTATTAGCGTAAAAAATAAATAGTTGAAGGACATTAAAAATTTAGGGATGAATTAATGTATTTACTAAAAAAGGATGAACAAAATAATAACAAAAGTTAAAAATTATAAATTAAATAATAATTCTCTCTTGATATATATTTTAGAAAGAAATTTCTGGCAATATCTCAAAAAAGAATTCATTAATTAGTTTCCTTCAATATCTCAAAAAAAATTATTATTTTATCAAACTACTAAATATAATAATAAAAATTGAAATTTTAAAATATTAATTAGTTCAATGCATATGATAAATTTTTTTTAAATTTTATTCGTTTATATTAAAATGAGAATAAATATGGAGAATATATGATTATTCTAAAAAAAAATCAAAATATAATAAAATGTTATTAACTTATTGAATATTTTTATAAAATAGACCAAGTGAAGGTGAAAATTTTATATGAGTAAAGAAAGTGAGAGAATTTATTTATGAAAGAAATATAGAAAGTCACTTCCATTTAATAGTTGCATCGAAATGAATATGGCATGATAGAATAATAAACAGTTGCCAGTAAAAAGTTGGTGACATTTTTTTCCCATTTTAGAATAAAAATTTGATGATTTTTTTTATTATTTTTAACGGTAAAAATGCTCCAAATACAGTGAGACTTACAAGAGGAAAATGACTTTCCAATTCTATATTTCATAAATCATTATGTTTAGCTTCTTTTATGAAATCAAGAAATATATTCTTTTATGAAATCATAATAAAAATTAAATGTTTAATTTATTGATGACAAAAAAATTCAAATATCAATTTCAAATGCTTAATGAAGTAATGGAAGACGATAAACAAATTACCAAAATAATTTTGTTTTTAAAGATTTTATTAGAATAATGCAATTTTAAATGAGGAATTTTATCGGCAGATGCAACAGATTTAATGTAATTGGATAATTACAATGAAACTTGAAACAATCAAGTAGTGATCTGGTTGGTCTTCTTACTTATGTGAGAATTATTTAACATTGAGGGTCTATTCGATAATTTTAGCAATTCTAGTAAATTTTAGCCGATGTAGTAACTTTCAGCTATTTAACTAAGAGTTAGCGGTTAGATATTAGTTGTTAGATATTCATATAGCTGTTAAAATAGAAATGTTTAGAAAAAATAATTGTTTGATTAGCTATTTAATATAAAAAGACAAAACAAAAAAAAAGATGCGGTTACAGAGAACGAGCCAAAAACAAGTGATATGCATAGACATTATATAAAATTCCGTGAAACATTACCTCAAACTCTAAATGAACACAATAATTAATTAAAATAATATTTTAATCCAATCAAAACACTGAACACTACTCCAAACGCTTCTACCTATCAAAGCCTGCATCTGCTTGGTCCATCCACTCTTCAATAAATGCAGTTTTTAATTTTTCAGTAAATATATTGTTCAAGTCCCTTTTGTATATTTCTCAAATATAGAACTTCTTCCTTCAAGTCAATATAAGAATACATTAAAATATTATTACAAGATTTGATTAATTGTTGAAATATATAGATAACAAAGAATAAATTGAACATGAGATTTTCAATTTAAAGTTTTATACTTAATTTATAGTATATAAAATCTAACTTAATTCTTACTCAGTACAGAGGCCATACAGCATTCAAAACTCAAAAGATGGGAAAACCAATAACAATGTGCACCTTTCTCTTTGATATTCTCACGCTCAACATATCGTCCTGCTCAACAATGTGCAACTGATACAAGGTACTTACTCTTTCATTCAAGAATCACAAAATTATTCAGCTTTCCGATCTAATCATATTCCAGTTCATCAGGAGTAACTGGCCGTTTGAGTGGAATAATAGACTTCTTTTCAACATCCCGCGATAAAGCTTTCCTCATGTCTGAATCCAGAGCACAATAAAGTAAGTAATTGAGAGGTGATAAGAGCCCAATAGAACGAAATCAGAAATGTTTCGGTCAGGTGTAAACTTGCCTAAGCCATCTTCCTCCCCTGAGTAATATCGGAGCACTCGTCTATAGATTACATACCCGAGCTGAAAAGAAAAGGAAGATCGATAAACATTACATTCTCATATTATTGATGGATCAGAAAGAAAAAGAACACAGTCACACACTTAATGAATGTCCCCCTCCAGAAAACATATTGAACATGAATGAAACTTGTAAATGAATATCTTCCATCCAGTTATGACCCAGTTACTCAGCAGAGCAGTTTCTCATGGGAAAATGCAAGCAAATCTAAGCAGTTAAATCCTACAATTTGCCTAACAAAATTAACTGATCCAAACTAGCAGTACTACAAAAGCACATTTGTCGATGCTTGGTGAGGTTAACACCATGCCGGCTTCAATTTCTTTTGGCAATGAAGACACATCCATGCATCTCTTGAAACACTTTTTTTGATATTATCCAGTTCTTTTAAGAACTTATATGAAAGAAAAAGAAAAAAAACAAATATCAAAGCTCTAAATAAGAATTAGGAATGAAATGCTAACCAAAATTAACGATATTGGCTACGTCATGTAATATTCCCAAGAAGGAAAGTTTATATAATTGAGGTCAAATGGCATTAATTAAAAGAAAAAGAATATCAAAAATAAAACTCACAAGAAGATTTGAAGCCCCTATTTTACAAATTAGAGAAGTATGATCAAGTAGCAACAAAATTGCAAATTTACCATCACTCAAGACACATTACCTTCTCGTACATCTTTATGGCTGGTGTATTTGACGCTCTAACAAACAGATCCACGAAGTATGCCTTATCACTGAAAAAAAAAAAAAAAAAAAGGTTGTCGTTAGAAAGATTCTTGCGCCTATACTAATCCAGACGATGAGTTAAAAAAGTAAAAGACAGAAGAGGTAATCAAACAAAAGCCTTAAGCCCGTCCGAGTAATTCTATCTAAAAGATAGAATATTTACCGAAATCCAACAACTAGACAATAACAACAGCTGAACAAAACATCCAAAATGGTTTTCTAGCCACACTGGCCCATAGTTCTATATCAATATGTTAATATGAATAGAAAGCAATATCGTTAGCAAGGAGACATAAACAATGCAGCACAAATAGAAGACTGGCACTTCCTGAGAAAATTCACAATTCAAAGGACCTCATAAGACTGCACTTGTCTTCCTAAGAACTAAGAGGTTGAACCTACAGAGCAGGAAATAGTGCAAGACCAAACTTCCCACAGTTTTCTAAAGTGTGTCCAGAAATAGATTCTAGGAACTTCCAAAACTAAATAAATTTGGAAATAAGATGATACTCTATAGCTCAATGTCATCTAAGTCTCAACCCTTCCGAGAGCCCAACTTAAGCCAAAATGCCAACTCAGCTGGACGTAGACATGCATATCAATAAATAAAAGTAGAGCTGCATAATGTTGCAAACAAAGCCCCAAAAGAATGTTCTCTCTTCATAATGAGTTTCATATAAAAAGAAACCAATATAATATTTAACATACAACCACCATATGATTTAATGATGCTGCTGTGCTAATGGAAAAATCCAAAAGTCCTATCTTAACATGAATTTCATTCATTCAAGCAAAAGAATCCAAAAGTCCTATCTTAACATCGATTTCATTCATTCAAGCAAAAGACATTAAAACAAGGCCAAGGACTCAAAGATTCTAGATATGAGTATTAGCAATCGTTGATTACAATTTCCAGTAAAAATAATATAATTATCAGAAGAAAATAGCAAAAGTTCCTTCATCATGTGAAAATCTTACATTTTATCACTAATGTCTTCGAGGAGGTTCATGAGTTTTTTAGCTAATTGTTGCCTGCGGTATTCAGTAGCCACTGTAACTGCCGTGACATGTCCATGCCAGGACTCGCCTTGTCCTTCTACTTTACCCATAACTACAACCATCCACAAAGATTGCCCTCTTTTAGGCTTTCTCTTTCTTTGTCACCAAAAAAAAGGTAAAAATTACACACAAAATAATGAATTAAAAAGGGAAGAAAGAGGAAGAGCTTACTGTAACCCATGATTTTACTACTAGGGCCTTCAGCAACATGAAAATAGTCCGGCCATCTTGCCAAATAAGTCATATAGAATGACATGTTGAACTACACAATCGATTTTCTTGAAGACTATTAATATCATTTCATTAGCAATATAATTAATTGAAAAATTTTAGAAATTCAGCTTACAGTTTCAGTGAGATGGTCGAGATTTACAGAGGAAAACCGGAGAAGATCTTTGCAGCAGAATCGGCGAATGGTTGTCATCTTTCTCTAGTCTCGTATGGTTCCTGGCTCTGAATTGAGATAATTGTGGCCAAAAACTGATCAGTGGACACTTACATAGAAGAAAATTTCCTTCATATCTCAAAAAACAAATCTTGAATGGTTAACAATAATTAATTTAGCCAAACTACTGAAAACAATATCAAAAAATTGAAAATTTAAATCAATTAATTAGTTCTATTGAAATATATATATATATATATATATATGAGATTTCATATTTGTTATTTTATTTTGTAGATTTATATTAAAGTGAGAAACATATAAAGTAATATCTGATAGAATTAAGACTAATGCTATATGATAGCAAAGTAGCTTGACTACCCTGATAAAGAATATAAAATACCACCTCCACCATATATATACACCTTGTAACTAAATAGTTTATACAAGGCTGTGCTTAACAGCTCCTTATACCATCCACATCACCAATAACCCCCAACTCCACTGCAATAATAAGCAATTATTTCAATGACCCCAACGATAGCAGTCTCAAATCGACCAAAAGACAACAGTAGCTAACAAGAAGAAACATGAGTATATGAGAATGTCCAGTCTCAAATTTCCTATAATTGCAAAAGTTAAGTGTACAGCAAGTTTGGTTGGATATTTGTTCAACTAAACAAACTAAAGTTGAAACATTTTATTTTGTTTTATTTTTTTCATTTTAATTTTCTCTTCCTCTCATTCATCATCAGCCAGACTAGCATAAATCCAAAATTTTAACCTATGTGTCATCGAGAAGAATTCCAAACTTCATCCTTGCAATCCCTTTCAGGTCCAATTTTGACTTTGAGAGAACAGGAAGTGGGTAAGGAATTAAGGATTACGATTTCCCTGTCAATTTCAAGTTACCCAACCAATCCCCATTATTAAAGCAACACAAGATCAACAGGCCCAAACTACAAAAATTCAATTAATCTTAATGCCACACAATAACACAACAACATGACCAGAGAAAGAGAAGAAAATATTGAGAAGCTTACTATTGCGGGGCGGTGGTAATAACTAGCGATACGATCACACCACGGAGAAAACGGATTCAAAACTTCAACAGACCAAAAACAAACGAAAACGAAGCTTAAAGTATAGGAAAAAAATGGCAGGAATTTGAAATTGAATAGTGGTGAGATTTACATCTGCTGACCGATGGGAGCAGTGAATGATTAATTATAGATAAGAAGAATCTGTGAAGGAGACGGTCAAATTATCCGCTTTGGTAACGTTGTCGGCAAACAATTTTGGCCGTCGGTAGTGACAGGACGAGAAGACTTGTTTTTCAGAAAACGGGTTTGGATTTTGGAATTCGGATTATGTACATCAACTATTTATTTATTAACTAGTGGCAGTATCTAAGAACTCGAATACAGTTATCGTAGCATTGTTGAAAAATCGGGATATTCGAATTAAAATTTTATTTTTTATTTTTTTAAGCAAGAGATCTTCGCACAAATATTAATAAAAAAAAATTCTCACTTAGATGATTCAAAAAAATAGATGGTAATTTCTTTTCTCTTGTGCAATGATAATATCATTAGCAGTTACAACTTATCTATATCCATACTACATATAAAAGTGAAAATGAGAATAAATAATGAGATTTTTTATATTGTCCTTATAAAATTTAAGATATTTTAAAATAATTTTAATTATAGCCAATTAAAAAATTTTGACATAAAATTATATATAATATCTCTATAATGTAATTTCTTTTCTCTTGTGCAATGATAATTATCATTAGCAGTTACAAACTTATCTATATCCATACTACATATTAAAAGGTGAAAAATGAGAATAAATAATTGAGATTTTTTAAATATTGTCCTTAAAAAAATTTAAGATATTTTAAAATAATTTTAATTATAGCCAATTAAAAAATTTTGACATAAAATTATATATAATATCTCTATAATTTGATTTGATGTTTTTTATTAGATAAATACATATAGATAATTAAGCATTTGAAATTTTAAAATTTGACTATTATTATCTTATTACGTTTAATATATTTTATTTTATTATATTATTATATAAATATTAATCATAATTTTAATTATTTATTATTATTATTAATTTATTTTATTTTTATTTAATATTATTGTAATCTATCTTCAACATTATTATTTTAAATGAATATGTGAAATATGAGTGAAATACCCCGAATTTTTATTTTCAAAACATTTTCCAATTTAATTTAACGAACCGACAGCCTGGAAATTGCTATTAATATTTTAGTGCGAATACTGTTAAGTGCGAATACTAATGAGAAATCGGAATCGAAAACCGATTGAAAAAGCGCGAAAACCGGTTGAAAAAATCGAAGATTTTGGGCCGAATCGGGAACGCAATCGGACCGGTCGACCCAACCATCTAGAACATCCTTTTCCTTTATCTTCAACGCCTAGTGACTGCGCCTGCGTCGACCTCAGCCAGCAACAGCAGGGACGCGAACCACCAACACCTGCGCCACGCCGGTCGCAGCCGCACGCAGCTCCAGCGCCATGCCAGTCGCAGCCGCATGCAGCACCAGCTCGAGTGGATCTCCATCACAGCACCATCTTGTCGCGCCATCGCCGGCCTGCAGCAGCTCCAGCAAGCCTCTGACCACCGGATCACTCCTCTGCCGCCGCTCCAGCGTGCCTCCGACCACCAACAGCTACTGCTCTCCGATCCGGCACGCGTGGAAATTTCCGATCTAGCAGAAATTAACTTAAGTTTATTATTTGTAGTTAATTAATTTAGTAATATTAGTTAATGAAATAAAATTTTACCAGCCTCCATTTTCGGTTAATCGAAATTCCGGCAACAATATATATATATTAGGTATAATTTAGTTTTAGTGAATGAAATTAATTGTTTGTAGGTAATTTATTTAGTTAAGTTAGCGTTCTTGAATTTATTTAGTTAATTTATTTAGTTAATTGATTTAGTTTAGTTAGTTTAATTTTAATAATTTTAGTCGATTTAGTTAATGTCAGTAATATTAGTTAATTAAATTAATTTTATTATTTGTAGTTAAGTAATTTGGTTAATTTAATTTGATAATTGTGAGTAGTTAACAGTTTTATAATTTTATTAGTGTTGATATAATTAAGGTAGTTTTAAAATAATGTTATTGTAATGTATAAATTGGATTGTGTGGTGATGTTGAGATTGAAGGAGGATGGGAAAATGTTATTTGATTAATTGCCCGATGGATGGGCTGCCGCGATGGAATGGGCCGTATTGGATTGAAATAATTGTGAAATTGTTGATATTTTAGCAGGTAGATAGTCTAAATTTTAGGGGAGGATGCTTGCCGAAATTTCGGTAGAAATAAATTTAATTATAGAAATTAAATTAACTTAAATAGAGATTAAATTATTTATTAGAAATTAAAAAATATAGAATAAGTTATTAGAGGTGATAAATAATTAAGAAACCCAATAATCTGTATCTTATAAATATATATATTAGTTTAAATTAAATAAATGAATTAAAATGACAAGATAAATAGCTATAGAGCCTCAAAAAGTGGTAACGAATGCAAAGTATATTTATGAGGTTAGGATTTTTATACAGGATTTTCTTTCTAGATGTGTATGAGCTCTGGGATGGTGAGACAAAAGCTAGAAGGATGCAGTACTAGAGATAGTCCTTTAGAGGGCAATAAAGAACTGTGAGTAGTGTTAGATAATTCGCCTCATCCGCCTGCATTCATGCATTCTCAGCTAAATGTTATCATGCATTATTTTATTGAATTGCCATATTATGATGCACTATTTGTTGATAGTAAAAATTGTTTGATTACTTGTGCTACTTGTGCTATGAATATACTGTGCCTTTGTTTGTGTTGGAATTGGGAATGAAGTGGACCACCATGGGTTTGTGAGGACGGTCCTGTGATAATGGGAGTCCTGAATATGATATGATATTGACCGTCGGCCGGGAAAAATGGAGATCGGCGCCCCCGTGTGCACCTGATGATTAATGGATTGTATGGAAAACCAAGGATGGCTTTCTTGTTTTGTTGCGCACCTGATAATCTAGATTTTGATTGTAGCTCCGCAGTGGTGGCCTCTCTGTTGTGAGGCACTTGATGATCTAGATGTGGATGGAGACCACCGGGTTGCCTCCTGTGGGTACAATGGAAAGAAACAGGAGAATAGAAAAACATGAAGAGGGACTGGTCCAAAGTGAGGAATTAGACCAGTTGCCGTATGGGGCGGATCGGCTCCTCCGGTGCATCATGTATGGAGAGGGCGAGCCATGTTGTGAGGACGGCTCGTTGGGGTATTCAGGTGGTGCCACTGACTAATTTCCACGTGATGTGATTATATGAAGGTGATGATAACTTGTGATTGCTGCTGTATTGCCAATTTGTTGTGAGCAAACTGCATGATCATATATTAAAAACGGTAAACTAGAATAAAAATATTTAGCTTCTGTGTGATTGTGTGGGGTGAGAGGGTTATTCTAACCCTACTCATTGAGTTTGGCGCTCACCCCTGCCTACTAATTTTTTTTTCAGGTATAGAAAAAGATAAAGCCTTGTGGTAAGGTTTGAGACACTATTGTAGAAGACTTTTAATGATAGGAAATAACGATGTAATATATAAAGGTAGAGTTTCCCGCAATTGTAATTCCAGTTGGTAATAAATAGTAAAAGTCCATATTAAATATATGAACTGCATTTTGAGTTAATGGGCCTGAATCTATAATTATGAATAGAAGGTGAGATTTAAATAAGTTATGCTTACTACGGGCTTCGGGGGCCTTAAGCCCACCCAGGTCCTAGTGCCGGTCCGGTCCATGGAAATGGGTCGTGACAACTTTCTTGGATCTGATAATCCTAAAACTCACATCAGCCCATTTCTCACCTTCTCTCTTCCGCTAGACATATTTTCTTCATCCCTCTCTCTAAATGGGTATCTAAATGAGACCAAATCCCTTCTCGCCATTATCAAATTTGTCCCAAACACTCTATCCAAGATTGGGTCTTTCGCTTTAATTTCATAATATTATCCAAGGAAAGTACAGAAATAATAGGGAATTATAAAAAGAGTCCGGGTAACTGACGTTTCTAAAATAAATACTTTGAGTTTTGCTAAATCCCCTCCATCTATTTTGAAGCAGATGATCAGTTGGAAATTGGTGTAATGGCCTGATCACCCAGTACACCATGATTTGACAGGAGACACTGCTTCGAAAATTATTTGAAATTATTTAGAAAAGAAGTCAGAGTTTTAAAGATAATAAGAAAGTAAATTTATTTGAACTACGATTTGAGAAACATGTTTTATTATTTGCTTATTGGAAATTGTTTTGAAGTTGCAAATGTTTTGAAAGTTGCAATTAATTGTTTGGTTTTCCTTATTTGTCGGCATGTCAAAAAATGCAATTAATTGTTTGATTTTTATTGTTTTGTCGGCATGTCAAAAATTTATCTGATTTTAGAATTTAAATTATTTACAATGATTGTATGTTTGATTTATTTATTTGTTTTTATCATATTGTCTATCCCGAGGACTACATTAGGACTATAGAAATAAAAAAATGATAAAACTAATAGAAATTAGATTCTAGAAATGTTACTGTTAGGGAAAAAAAAAAAAGGGGGTGGAAATTGTAATTTAAATTAAATCAAGGGTTAAAAAAAAAAGGGATTTAAGACAAATAAATTAAATTCTCAAGTATTCAAGTTGAAACTCAAGGATGTAAAAAGAGAAAATTTGTAAATTTCTTAAGTATAACATTAAGGAGAAAGGAGATGTAATACCCCGAATTTTTATTTTTAAAACTTTAGAATTTTTATTAAATCAAAAATCCAGATTTATGATGATATGGGCTGTTAAGATCGAGTAATTTTAACTGGATAGGTCATATTGAGGTGAGGCAGAATATAATATAGAATTAAAGTTCGTTTAGTGAATAATTGGCAAAGTTGTTGAAGTTAAAATTGATTAATATGGAAAAGATTGACTTAATTAGTTAATAAAAAAAAAAAAAAAAAAAAAAAAAAGAAAAGAAAAGGAGAGAGACATTGTCCCTTACACGCTTAATTTTTAGAGGGTTTGTTAAATACAGTAACTCAGTTTTTTGTCTTTTTTTCTATTTATTCATTTTTTTTTCTTATTTTTTTATTTCCCTTCTATTGTTCGTGCTCAAATTAATTTCTTCTTGCTCTGAAACCAATTTCTCCTTCATGCATTCGAAAGCCATTTTTAAATTTTAACATTTACAAATACACATTCAGTCACATCACCATTCACAATTTCTATTTATTAAAACACATCAGCTGCAATCCATGGTTGCATTGGAGATGCTTTTAGTTGCTTAAAGACTGAGAATGGTAAAAACTATTGGCTAGTTTTTTCTTCATCTAAAATTTATCCTTGACACCAGCAAATCTATTTTTGCAAGAACAACCTGAAACTCATAATAATGAAATAATACAAAATGAAAAATCCAAAAGAGAAAAAAAAAAAAAAAAAAAAAAAAAAAAAAAAAAAAAAAATGACTTTAGGATGGAATTAAATTTTGTG